TTCAACTGTTGGCTCTTTACAATCCGGTGTGAGAAGACAGATCTGCCAAGTCAAATTCAAGGCTCATGACCCAGATAAAGAAAGTTTGACCAAACAGAGCATTGCTTGAATTATAAAAAGCATTTTCTTAGTTATGTTCTAATGCCACTGTGGATAAAGTTATAGAAATATTAAACTTAGTGAAACTTTCAAAGTGGAGTACAGAGGAATATCTGAAATATATATGTACAATACCATATTTCCCACCTGACAGCATTTCAATCTTATAAGGCCAAATTACAAACAAACAAACAACAACAACAACAAAAAAGCTGATGCTAGCTTCCAAATGTATGTTGGAGAATAAGTTGGTAGAACATTTCTTCATCATTCTAGGAACAACTGACTTACGGTCTGACAGAAACCAGTAGTATATTCAATATATTAGAAACATGGTGTTTATAAGAAAAGATGCTACCAATCTGGGCAATGGATGCATAAGTGTTTATTGTACAATTCTTTTCACTTTTTAGTATGTTAAAGATTTGGGATTACAGTCCTGGGTAGGATGGAATAAGTACACTGTCTCTCACCAAACGCAACTAAAATCTCCAGACAAAATTCATAGAGTAGCTATTTGAGGACTCTGAGAAGTAAATGATAGCAGGTAGATTAGGAAGTAAACCATAACTCAGAATATAAACGAAGATTCTTTCCTGATTTGGTTTCTGTTTTTTTCCTTCCATACCTTGCAGCTTGAACTCAATGCAGTATAAGTCACAGAAGTGTGATCTGGGAACAGACAGAAAGAGCTCCAAGAGAAGCCCTCTCTTTCTAGTCTGAGGAGCAGAAGGGAGGCCCTACAGGATAGAGAAAAGTAGCAGAAATACTGTTTCTTTATTCTCTTCTGGCCCTGCCCCAGGCAAGCCTCATTCCCAAAGCTGGAACCCTGTGGTAGAAGGGGTAGCAACAGCACTAACTGGGCAAGCACCTGAAACTAACAGAGAAATCTTCTTGGACCAGAAGAGTGGGTGGAGTGGGGACCCATGCTGGTTATTTTCCTTCCTCAGTCCCAGAAGCAGACCTAATTGTGGGAAGCAACACAGCTAGCTCAGAGAGCACACCTTTGACTTTCTAGTCAGAATGGCAGGAAAAGGGGGAAAGGGACCCTGGAGCTGGAGAATGTGGGGGTAAGGATGCTGGAGAGGTGGAAGCTTGAGAAGTGAGTGTGTGGCCTCACCCTGATCTGTACACGGACCAGACCCTACAGAGCATGACCAAGGCCTGGCATGCAGAACTACGGGGGCAGACCACTGCCCAGGTCTCAGACCAGGCCCTGGATAGTGGACCTGTGGAGCAGGTCCAAAGAGCTCTGCAAAAGTGTTGAAAACTGAAGGGAAACTAGTGTCAAATGATGAAGAAACTGGTCATCTCTATGCAAGGAAAAAATGAACCTTGACCTCTTCCTCATACTTTATACTCAGTAACTCAAAATAGACAATAGATCTAAATGTAAGCATACAACTCTAAACATTTTACAAGAAAAATAGGAGAAAATCTCATGACAAGTTAGGCAAGTCATTCTTAGGTACAATACAACACCCAGGTTCATTTTTTAAAATACTGCTAAGTTGGACTTCATCAAAATTAAAAACTTTTGTTCTGTGAAAAAGATACGTTACAGAGTGTGAGAAAATATTTGCAAATCACAGATCTAACCAAGGACCTATATCCAGAAGATGTAAAGAACTCTCAAAACTGAACATTAAGAAAACAAACAACCCTATTAAAAAATATTCAGAAGATTTGAATAAACACATCTCCAAAGAAAATATACAAATGGCAAATAACACAAGAAAGATGCTCGATATTATTAGCCATTAAAGAAATGCAAATTAAAATAGCAATGAAACACCAATACATATCCATTAGAAAAGAAAACACTGTGGAGAAAAAATGAAAATCTAGGGGCACCTGGGTGGCTCAGATGGTTAAGCATCTGCCTTTGGCTCAGGTCATGTCCTGAGATCGAGCCCTACATCAGGTTCTCTGTTTCGTGGGGAGTCTCTTCTCCCTCTGCCTCTTCCCCAGCTTGTGCTCTGTCTCTCTCCCTCTCAAATGCATAAATGAAATCTTAAGAAAAAATGAAAAAATGAAAGCTACAAGTGCTGATGAGGATCTGGAACAAATAGTTCTGCTACACTGCTGCTGGAAATGCAAGGCCCAGCCACAAAAGAAAAGAGTTTCTTTCTTTTTTTTTTTTTTTTAAGATTTTATTTATTTATTTGACAGACAGAGATCACATGTAGGCAGAGAGGCAGGCAGAGAGAGAGGAAGGGAAGCAGACCCCCCACCAAGCAGAGAGCCCCATGCGGCTGGATCCCAGGATCATGACCTAAGCCGAAGGCAGAGGCTTTATTCCACTGAGCTACCCAGGTGCCCCAGAAAACAGTTTCTTACATACAGCTTACTATACCACCCAGATATCTCGCTGCTAGGACGTTCTACTAGAGAAAGGAAAACTTACACCTACATAAAATTGGTACACAAATGTTGATAACACCTTTATTTGTTTTTTTTTGTTGTTGTTTGTGAATAAAACTTATATTTAGGTTTAGCCAGCTGGGCTCGGTTTAGATGATCCCAGTTTTGTTGGCAACATCCAAAGCATCATAGTCAGGAGCCAATTGAACATATGCGTTCTTCTCTCCATCAGGCCTGATCAGGGTGTGGACCTTGGCCACATCAATGTCATAGAGCTTCTTCCTAGCCTGTTCGATCTGGTGGTGGTTGTCCTTGACATTCACAATGAACACAAATGTGTTGCTCTCTTCTGTCTTCTTCGCGGCTGAATCAGTAGTTGGGGTGGCAGAGGAGCTGGATGATGGCATGGTGATCAAGCCTGTTTCTCTTGGGGGTACTCTTTTGAGGCTATTTGGGCTGCCTTTGGAGATGCAGTGTCGTGGGCCATCAGAAAGTAGGTGACGTGCAAGTCATCTTTTTTTCCTGACCGTGAATGCCTTTCAGCACCGCTTTCTTGGCCTTCAAAGTCTTTGTTTTGGCTCCACCTTTGGGAGGGCCAGGGGCTTCCTTCTTAGCCTTCAGCAGACATTTTCATGAAAGTCATAGCAGCTTTATTTGTAATAGTAAAAAACAGGAAACAACTCTAATGTCCTTCAACAGGTGAAGGCCTAAATAAACTTGTGGCACATCTATATACAGAAATACTATTCGCAACAAAAAGGGAAGAATTACTGATACATACAATATGAATGAATCCAGGAGAGATTTTTCTGAGTGAAAGAAGCAATTGTCAACATTTTGTATGCTACATGACATCATTTATATGGCATCCTCAAAAATGCAAAAATATAGAGATGGAGAGGAGAGGGTTTGACTACAAAGAGGGGTATGAGGAAATTTTCTGGGTGATGCAACTGTTCTGTATTTTGTTTACAGTGGTGACTACATGAATCTACACATGCCCTAAAATTCATAGAACTGTATGCCAAAAAGAAAGAAAATTGTATTGTCCATTTAAAAATTAAAACAAAAAGTTACTGTATCAGGGTTTCAATGTCAAAATAAGAATAGACCCTTGGCAATCAGTTCTATTACCAAATCATCTTTTTCAGGTAACTAACATTGTAAAATAATCATATAACAACTTCCAGACCCAAACAACATGTAAAGTACCATAACCATAATACAACTTACTATCCTCACAAAATTAGAGTGCTTTCTGTGCCAGTTTTTAATAAAGGGTACTTCTTCATTCTGATTCTACTACATAACAATCAACTTGCCTACCAATCTCAGAGGAATAAAGTAGACAGAGAAGGATGTGTTCCACTTGTAAAACAAAGAAAAATGTTCATCATTATCATGTCTAGGCCATGTCTATACCAACAAAGCCAATAAGATGATCAGCTAGTTTGATCTGATTTCATTTACTCATCTTCCAAAGATTTAATAAGCACATAGTAAAAACCCAGGCTCCGGGAGAATGAAAGTAAAGCAGTGCTGAGCTTTATCTTCCAATGAGTCAATCCAGACAGAATACAGAATAGCTATGTAGAAACCTACTTACTGAACACTTTAAGAACAATGGCCCATTTAATTAAGAACCAGGAGCCATAGTCCATAGGATTCTAAAAACCAAGCCCATCATCCTTCATTGCAGCTGGAGATGATGAACGTGATATTGGGTATATCCAGCCCAAGTGGTTTTCTTGGGCCATGGTAAAGTAGTAAGTGAAGTTAGGAAAAATAGCGAGAAAATCCTTAGGGTGGGTTTTCATATCAATGCAGACAAATAGTTAAGCTGCTTTGGGGCTAACAGCTTGGTCTCTGGAACCAGGTAAACCAGGTTTAAATCCTGCCTTCACCCCTTCTTAGATGTAATACTTTGGGCAAGATATTTAACTTCTGTGTCTTGGGCTCTTCATATGAAAACTGTGTATTTTTAGTAACCCTGTTCTCACAAGGTTGGGAGACAAGGTTGAGCATTAAATACCAAAATCCTAAGACTGGTGCCTAGTACACAGTATGTACTTAACAAGCTTTGTTAGAGTTCACACAGCAAAGTCAAGACTTAGTGTCCCTGAGGCCAGTTAGTTTCTGTCCTCCATGTCCCAAATTATACTATAGGCAACCATCTTATTCTTTTTTTTAATTAACATATAATGTAATTATGTATTATTTGCCCCAGGGGTACAGGTCTGTGAATCATCAGGCTTACACATTTGACAGCACTCACCATAGCACATACCCTCCACAATGTCCACAAATGCATATTACTGGCCGTAAGGTCAATATGAGAAAATGAGCAAAAGCCTAAGTCCTACAGGTAGTGGGTAAACAATTTAGTTACCAATACACCTTAAAGAGATCTTCCCAAAGTGAAAGCCAAATTTGGAAATATTGGGTGTGTATGTGAAGAAAAGATAACTGAAGTAACCAGATTTCCCCCATACACTGGTTATGCTCCAGTCCATTCTACCAAATGAAAATGAACTTACCTTATCAGCAATATCCACTCTTGCCTTGTGATTGAGCAAGAAATCCACCGCAGATATATGATTTGCCCCCACTGCAAAATGCAGGGCTGTGCAGTTCATCTGAGGAAACATAATTTGTGTTTTCCATCATCTAATTGTTATTTAGCTTCTTTATGATTCCTATGTCTTAAATGGTCATAATTTTCTATCATATGTTTATATGTGCATGGCATAACCTATGATTGATTGTAACAGTGTAATGGATTTTAATTAAAAAGTAAAAGTTGGGGCTCTTGGGTGGCTGACTGGGTTAAGCCTCTGCCTTCGGCTAAGGTCATGATCTCAGGGTTCTGAGATCAAGCACCGCATCGGGCTCTCTGCTCATCGGGGAGTCTGCTTCCCCTTCTCTCTCTGCCTGCCTCTCTGCCAACTTATGATCTCTCCCTCTGTCAAATAAATAAATAAAATCTTAAAAAAAAAAAAAAGTTGTAGGGATGTCTGGATGGCTCAGTCAGTCAAGCATCTGCCTTCAGCTCAGGTCGTGATCTCAGGGTCCTGGGATCAAGCCCTGCATTAGGCTCTGTGCTCAGCAGGGAGTCTGCTTATCCCTCTCCTTCTCCCTCAGCCCCTTTCCCAACACATGCTTTCCCTCTCTCACTCAAATAAATAAAACTTTTAAAAATAAGTAAATAAAATTAAAAGTAAAAGTTGTATTTTCTCCCATATGCAATCACAAAGAACAGTAATTTTTTCTGCTTAGAATATATTGGTAATGTAAAACAAAAATTTCCCTAGATGTTCAACCCATATATGGTCTTTCTTCTATAATTTTTGTACTGTTTATTTCACTTAAACAAATAAACACCTTCAGAATGAAAGAAAGAAGGAAGAGAAGAAAAAAGAAAAGAACAGACACAGAAAAAGAAAGCTCTGACTATCTGTTGCTTCAAAGGAAAGCCAACAAGGTGCTCCTGAGATGTCCGAGACAGTTTACTGTGTTTCAGACAAGAGATGTTTTGCTTGTAAGTAAAATACAAGTCGTATTTCCCATATTCTAGAGACTGGTTTTACTTCCAAACAAGGTATCTGCACATGGATTTCCTCCTTTATTTCAAACAAATAATGTACTGCAAAATTTAAATATCTGATATCCTTGGTAGCTAAACTGATGGTAAACTGACGTTTGACAAAACATAAGTTATCCTGATAGTGTCTGCCATTTAGAGCTGTGTTCTGGTATGTCAAGCCAAAACAGCATCCAAGAGAATTCAATAAAACCACTTATATATATTTTTTCATCTCTATCATCACAGATTTTAAGGAACTCTGCAACTAACCACGTCAACAATTTGCTATAAATGGGACCAAAACAGATATTGTTAGAAAGTATAATACATTTCATTGAGCGCTGATGATAACTTGCCACAGTGACCATAAATTAAAATGCCTCAAATGTGCCCTAAATGATACTTCATTTAGCATTAAATCCTTTTCAATACTTTAACATAAAAATACAGTTTAAAATATCAGAAAGTCTTAGGGCACCTGGGTGGCTCAGTTGGTTAAATGTCTGCCTTCAGCCAGGTCATGATCTCAGGGTCCTCAGATGGAGTCCCACACTGAGCTCTCTGCTCAGTGTGGGGGTCTACTTCTCCCTCTCACTCTCCCTCTGTGCTCACTCTCTTGCAAATAAATAAATAAAATATTTTTTAAAGATAAAAAACATCAGAAAGTCTTATGTGCAAAAATTTTAAATTATTGTAAAAGTACATTAGAGAATCTATTTCCCGCTACTTGGGAAAATGATTATTGCTTTACTTATTCAACAGTTTAACTAGATATTACTTTCAAAGACCCCTGCTTACTTCTTTGTTTTTACTCCCTTCTTTCTTGATTTTTTTCCTTTTGGTTTCGTTGTTGTTTTTGTTTGGTTCCTAAAATTGTTATGCTGCAAAATTTTGCTATTTCTCTACTCTTTCTAGGATACCTAAGGACAACGAATGTTATATAAAACGGTAACACATCAGACATACACATGCACACAATATACACATAGACACATAAATTTCTATATATATGCAAACATATATCTCTCACATATACACAGCACAACTGGTAAACATCCTTCCACTGCATCTGATGCATGACTTCAATTCGTATGACCTCACTGTCTGGGACAGATCTATGTGCTGTGGAACGGAAAGTCTACTCTCTAGGGAGCCCTTTTTAAAGCCAGAGTCAAAAAGCTGAATTGATGGCAATTAAAGTTTCTTACTTTTTTTGGATTTTACAAAACCATTTAAGCATGAGAACATATTGCTAGAGCCCTCCCCAGTGCCTGGGAAGGGGTCTGTACAAGTCAGAACACTGAACTTCATTTAACAATAAATCCAACTCTATTTTCCCGTTTTTGATCCACTGCACAGATTGTCCTAAGCAATTAACACAGCCCCAAATCTGTTCACTTTGATAAACCTTGCCCTGAAAAGCTATCAGGAAATCTCTACAAAACTAAGCAGTAGGAAATTCATATTTCTAGCAGTCGACTTCTCTCCTAACCCCAAACACATTCAAGAACAATAAAGTTAAGAGCCAGGTTTTAGAAAAGGCCCTAGTGCCTGACATGCAAAGGCACCATATTTCCAAAGTGGTAAAATACAAACCCATGCTCCTTTGGATGTTAAACTTGGTGGGCCGAACAACAAAGGACATCCCTGGAGAGAAAGCAGTGACAAAACTGTGAAGCAAAAGATGTTCTGCCTTTCCAGAATGTGTGAGGCCAATGATCCACAGGCTGCAATCCAGGATCAAGTCCAGGCCCATAACCTTGACAACTGGCTTTACTGCCCACCCACAGTCTTTGCAAAGATACACCAGTGACTGTGTATTTCCCCTCTGATAAGATAAATTAAAACACCCAGAACTATTCCTCAGCTTAATTCCACCTTGAGCTTACACATTCTGGAATTACCAACAACAGAGCTATCCTTCACCCCATCCAGCACAATCATTTTAATTTTTATTACTATTTCAGTTGCACTGTGTAAATCCAAACCACCCTTAGGGTACTCACTTGTCATATCTGTGACTTCTACTCACATTGTTCACAGCATTAATGTTAACCTTCTTTTCAAACAGCTTCTCCATAAGATCCAAATTATTGCTTTTTGCAGCATTCTGAAATTTTCTCTCGTTTGGCAGTACTGAAAGAATGAAAGCAAGCATGACTGAAGAATTTTAAGGGGGATGAAGACAAAAAGAAAGCAAACCTCACGTGACAAACCTGGTAACTTTAAAAACTTGACACAACAGCCTTGAGCCTTTCACATTCTGCCAATCTGGACATAGGAACTCTGCATCAATATTCTACAGAGCTGTATTATCAAGATTCCACTCTGTGCTCATCATGCAAATGTTTTCACACCCTTAAACATATTCCTGGTCCCAAACAAAACATCATTTCCAAGGACCACCCTGAAGTCAGCAATGTAGCATCTGCCTCTAGGAGGTTGGAGGGTGGCCATGGACTTTCTGGTTTTTTGGTTTTTGTTTTGTTTTTTAATAAATGTCTGTATAAGATTAGATAGGCAGAAGCCCAAATGCTCCATACAAGTTTACAGAGATAAAACTGCTGTCTGCAGAACCCACTGAAGATGCTGGCCAGCAGAAATAAATCATTAAAATGTAGCATATCATATAAATATACACAAAGGCTGAAAGGGATGAACATGTTTTATTTTCATTTATATAAAAAGAGGTAAAAGTAGATTCATACCTACTATAAACATCACATATTTCACACACACACACATTCGGGTGGCAGGTTTTATTAACTAGCCTAGAAAAGTTTTCAGGATTTATTTAGTTTTTTTAATATGCAGGAGGATTTGGGGAACAACCCCAATATTGGGGGATAAAGTCAGAATTGGAATGATCTGAAATCAGCAACAGACCATCTCTAAAAAGAAAGCCACCTAAGAGAGGTTTTATGGATGTGTTGCCAAGTAGTTCCCAATAATAATAACAACAACAATAACAAAATTCTGTTGAAGACTGTAGAATATGAACAAGTCTAATCAAAGACCAAGAGGATCTTCATGGGAGAAATACGCATTCATTCTTTCTATCGCATGGATCCCCCTCTTGCCTCCCACCCTTCTTATGGTCCCCACTCTAAATAACTTCAACATCCACACAGATGACAAATCCCTGGTCTCCTAGTTCTCTGACTCCCTCATGGAGAACAATCTATGTCCCACCTGAACTCAGCCACCCAATTTCAGGGACCTACTCTTGACATCACCATCAAAAACTACATTACCTCTGACATCTTTAAGAATCCCACCATCTGGGGGCGCCTGGGTGGCTCAGTGGGTTAAGCCGCTGCCTTAGGCTCAGGTCATGATCCCAGGGTCCTGGGATCAAGCCCCGCATCAGGCTCTCTCCTCGGCAGGGAGCCTGCTTCCTCCTCTTTCTGTCTGCCTCTCTGCCTGCTTGTGATCTCTCTCTGTCAAATAAACAAATAAAATCTTAAAAAAAAAAAAAAAAAAAGAATCCCACCATCTGACCACCACCTCATCCATCCAACTCACCTGCTCTAGTTCTCACAGTCCTGAAATTTTGCAACCTCATCAAGTCCTCCAATCTACTGTTCTTACCAGCTTTTCCTGTTATTCATCCTTTATTCCTTTACTCCACCCCTTGCCCATGTTAGATCCTATAGTCCACCTCTGAAATTGCTTCTATACAAACACCTTTACCTCCCTTGCCAATCTCTTTCCTCATCAGACCAGAGCTGGCAGAATCTTAATTCTGAGACTAAACCCAACTTCTCTTTGTTCCATTTCTGCACCTGAACAGCTGAAGAGTACTACAGAGAAACACATAACCGTGCTGTGGGAGACTCAGATAGTGCTCATTCATATCTGCTCCCCCATCTGAATGCCTGGATACCTACACATCCCAGTCAGGGTGCAGTTAAGGTGAGGTCCTTCCCCTGGACTGAAAGCAGAAGGGGTCGTATGTTCCTTGGGGTGAAGTTGGTGAAAAGCTCCTGCGTCACCTTCCAGGTGCTTTCTTCCCATTTTATCAACCCTGGAAGCCATGTGTTTAAATGTTGCAGTGTTGTAGCTGCGTTGTAATCCCTCAAATTTTACATGTTGAAGCTCTAACCCCGGTACCTCAAAATGTGACTATATTTGGTGATAAGGTCTTACAAGAGGTAATTAAAGTGAGGTCATTAGGGTGGGCTCTAATCAAATGTGACTGGTGTCCTTAGAGGAAATTTGGATACAGACATGACATAGGAAAGACCATGTTGAGACACTGGGAGGAGATGGTCATCTACAAGCCAAGGAAAGAGGCCTCTGGGGAAACTAACTCCACTGACACCTTGATCTAGGATTTCTAGACTCAAAAACTGAGACAAATGTTTGTTATTTAAGCCATCCAGCTTACTTTGTTATAGTTATCCCTAGCAAACTAATACATAGGGTCACATGATAGCAGTACCTCAATCAGCTTGGTACTGGGAGACAATTCTCCATGGGTCTTGTGGGTTTCTGTACATCTTTTTTTTTTTTTTTAAGATTTTATTTATTTATTTGACAGAGAAAGAGAATGTGCAAGCAGGGGGACCAGCAGGCAGAGGGAGAGGCAGACTCCTCACTGAGTAGGGAGCCCAATGGACCCTGGGATCATGACCTGTGCTGAAGGCAGACTCTTAACGACTGAGCCACCAGGTGCTTCTGTATATCTTATAAGCAGAAGAACTGACTGCTTTTGTTGTAGACCCTCTTTTCCAGGATGTTTCCACAGTCAACTGTGTCGGAAAAGAGAGATAATGTCCTCCTTTGGAGCAAGGGGCTAGTTTGCTTATGGCTTGCCTTAAAAGACAGAGAGAGTAAGGCATCCTTCTGGCCTATGAGAAAAGGTTTGGGTTCCCTAAGTTCAGGATTCATCCATAACACAACCCACAGCTTATGCAGGTGTCACTTGGTACGCTTAGCATCTCCCTGCGGAACAGGGGCTTGGACAGCTGACACAAATGTTGACAGCCTGGCTACTGCTCCTACTGTGAGTACTAAAGTCCTCTGTGTCTGATCCAGAAGTGTCTTCTGCTAGTATCCGTGATACCATGGTAGGCTAACCTGTTAGCTTGCAAACAAACAAAAAAAGTAAATGGCCTCTTTAAACTTTTTTTTAAAAAAGATTTTATTTATTTGAGAGAGACAGAGAGAACAAGCTGGGGGGGGTGGGGGGCAAAGGGAGAGGGAGAAGCAGGTTCCCCGAGGTGTGGAGCTCAATCCCAGGACCCTGGAATTAGGACCTAAGGCAAAAGCAAACACTTAACTGACTGAGCCACCCAGGCGCCCTGACCTCCTAACACTTTTTGACACACAGGTTCCTGGGAAGCTAGGTGGAGCAGAGACCCTGCTGTCAGACATGTTGTCTAAGCAAGAAGGAGATATTGATTATATTCAGTCACTCAGATTAAGGGGTTATTTGCTGCTGTAGGAAAAGCGAGTCTATCCTGACTACAGAGACTAACATACTACACATAATTAACATACTCTTGAATTCTTTTTTTTTAAAGATTTTATTAATTTATTGGACAGACAGAGATCACAAGTAGGCAGAGGGGCAGGCAGAGGTAGAGGGGGAAGCAGGCTCCCTGATGAGCAGAGAGCCCGATTTGGGGCTCAATCCCAGGACCCCGAGACCACGACCCGAGCTGAAGGCAGAGGCTTAACCCAATGAGCCACCCAGGAGGCTTAAATTCTTTTTTAAAATAATGATTTATTTGGGGTGCCTGGGTGGCTCAGTGGGTTAAGCTTCTGCCTTTGACTCAGGTCATGATCTCAGGGTCCTGGGATCAAGCCCCACATTGGGTTCTCTGCTCAACAGGGAGCCTACTTCCCCCTCTCCCTCTCTGCCTGTCTGTCTGCCTGCCTCTGATCACTCTCTCTGTCAAATAAATAAATAAAATCTTTTTTAAAAAACCAAACAAATAAATAAATAATGGTTTATTTATTTGTTTCAGAGAGAAAGAGAGGCCACACATGTGTGCATAAGCAAGGGGAGTGACAGGGAGAGAGGGAGAGAGAGAATCTCAAGCAGACTCTCCACTGAGCATACAGCCTGATTCAAGGCTACATCCTATGACCCTAAGATCACAACCTGAGCCAAAATCAAGAGTTGGACACTTAACCAACTGAGCCACTCAGGTGGCCCCATATTCCTCACACTCCTAAATTCTTACCTACTAATCTCAAGTACGATCTCATCACAGCAATCCTCCTTCAATTCCCTAGCCTTCTGTTCTTCAATTCCATGACTTTTCCTTTCCTTTCAAATACCCTAATCTATTAATGTGCCTAATTTAGTATCCATGATCAGCAACATCCAAATCTCAACTGATAATATTGCATACAGAAAACATAAGCAATCTGATAGTAATTCCCTTATTTTCCCATCACTAAGTTTATCAACCTACCTACCTACTTTGATACCCACACTCTCTGCTTTTACTATTATTATAGTCAATGAAGCATCCCCATGCCTACCAAGGTTAACCCCCTACTGGGGCAAAGGATCGCACCCTTCTTATCTTTTCAATTATTTCATGTATCAGTCCCCTAGAAATTATCCCATTCTCCTCTGCATCATTTATACTCCCTCCAGGGACCATGCCCTTCAGCATATACAGAGACATTATAATATGCCAGTGGAAAAAAACTCTCTTAACTTCACATCCTTTCCAAATGCCCCTCCATTTCTCAATCTATCCTTCCCCACAAATTCTTAAAAGTGTTCTATGATTTCTGTCTCTCTTTCCTCACTTCACAGCTTCTTGTCATCTCCATGCTAATAAGACCTCATTCCCACCACTTCACTGAATCAGCACTTACAGGATCACTCCATCTTGATAAAAAACCCAGTCATCGCTTCTCTTTGTGCACCTTAAACTCTTGGCAGATCTGACAGAGGGCCATACTCTCCTTACAACATTCTTCTTCAGGCTTCTGATAGACTACCTGCTATCTTCCAGTCTCTTTTACTGGCTCTTCCTCTTCTGCTTGATCTCTAAGTGTTGGAGCACTCTGGGGTTTTTATGAAGTTAACAACTTTACAGAGTAGATACTATCATCCCATCTTACAGATGAGGAAAATGAGACCTAGAAAAGCTAAACCCCTTACTCATGTCTTAAAGACAATAAATAATAGAACTATCCCACGCAGCCTGAATCCAAACCCAACCTGTCCAAGCCCCGCAAGTGTCCAGGGTGTCAGCATGAGAGTACAGACTGCCCACTGTCAGATGTTTTAGCTAATGCATTCTGTCAGTTAGACTGGGTTTCTTTCAATTCTTTCTTCATTCCCACAGAGCCCTGACTCACTTTGCCCCTCTGTGTTAATCCAATGGGAGTGTAGTTCTAGTTCCTGGTCTTTTCCTTCCTGGCTATGTCCCAGGGTAAATCAAGTCCCTGTGGTGTTCTGAAATAGAACACATGGATTCTATTCCATCCCTGAAGTCAAATATCTTCTCCTTTTTCTACCACATCTATAAGAAAAAGTAATTTTGAAGGGGTTCCTAAGACAACTGGGAAGCACCATACAAGATTCTTAATCTACAAAATCAATGGTTCTTAGCTCTGGCTTCACAATAAAATCAACTGGATCCCTTAAAAAAAAAAAGAAATCTAAGTGAAGTTCTTCAACCCAAGCCAACTGCATCACAATCACTAGGCTTCAAAATGTTTGCAGACTTGCCCATAATTTACTGAGTTACCTTGTAACAATTTTGAATCTTTACATTCAAATGTAAAATGGAGATTATAAAACTACCTTTGGCAGTGTGAAGAAGCCAGTTTGTACAGACTAATAAGAACTGGCTATATCTCTTCCCAACTCTGTGTCCAATGACATTATATTGTAGCTTTAAATCAGTCGTGGTGAAAGTATTACACAAAGAAAACTGGAAAATACTACAAATCAGAACTTCCTCCAACCACCCTGCCCCAGAGAGCTGGTAATCAAACATTTACTAACATACTACTATCTACCTTCTAGCTAGTAAGTGACAGAGTTGAAAATATGATCTAGACAAATCATAAAGGTATCAATTTTCAGCTTGACTAAATAATATTTAGAGAACTTTACTATATATGTCTTTTTTTTTTTTTTTTTCAAAATGTTTAAGATCAAAGAAAGGTTAAATGTTCAGCCCAAAACAACAGGTTACACAGAGTTGTATCATTCACTTAAACTTTTAGGGGTCAAAAATTCCAATGCCTTCAGGAGTTGGGCAAGTATAAACCAAGAAGGCCAGAACAGAAGACCATGCTGAGGTAGAAAAACAAGGCCCAGCTCCATCTGTCATTTCATTCAGGTCTCTGCTCAACTGGTACCACTTCTGAAAAATTGTATCTGACCACCCAATCCCCTTTCTCCTGTCATTCTCTGCCCTGTGCCCTTCTTCATTTTTCTCCTTCATATCGTTTGTTATTACTTGACATTCTAATACATATAATGTTTACCTACTCACTATCTGTTTCCTTCACCAGAATACACTATCCATAAGGAAGCTGAAATAAGTCCAGTGCCTAGTGTTAGTAGGTGTTCAATAAATATTTGTTAGATGGATGCATGGAAGGGTTGGGAAGCCACTATCCACCTCTAGAACAATACTGCCAGGAGAGGAAATATTATGCCCAGTATTATCAAAACTTCCAACATAAACACACACACCACACACACACACACACACACACACACACACACACATCATGTATCAAAGAGGAAAACCCAAGAGAAATTAGAAAATAATCTGAACTAAATGAAAATAAAAATAAATCAAAATGTGTGGGATGCAGCTAAAGTAGAGCTAAAACAGGAATTCATAGCATTAAATTATTAGAAAGAAAGTCTCAAGTCAGTAATCTAAGCTCCTACCTTAAGAAAGTAAAAAACTGGGGCACCTGGGTGGCTCAGTAGGTTAAATAGCTGACTCTTGATTTTGGCTCAGGTCATGACATCAGGTTACTGGGATCGAGCCCTGTGCTGGGCTCTGCGCTCAGCGGAGTTTCTGCTTGAGATTCTCCTCTCTCTCTCTCTTTCTGCCTCCACCCCCTGCCCACATGCATGCACTCTCTCTCTAAAATAAGTAAATAAATCTTTAAAAAAAAAAAAAGAAAGTAAAAACCTAAATCAAGCAGAGAAGACAAATAGCAAAAGTAAAGGCAGTAATCAATGACACTGAAAAGAGATAAAAAAATAGAAAAAAAAATCAATGAGAACAAAAGCTGGTTCTTTGAAGGTATCAATAAAATCAGTAAACTTCTGGTAATACTGACAAGAAAAAAAGAGAGAGAAAGAAGGCACAAATAACCAATATAAGGAATAACAGGGAACATAACACCACAGTCCACACAGACATTAAAAGGATAACGAGGGCATATTATGGACAACTCCATGCACATAAATTCAACAACTTTGATGAGATAATTTCTTGAAAACCGCAAACTATTCAAATATATTTGAGATTACATAGATAACCTAATAATACCATAACTATTAAAGGAATGTAATTTGTAATTTAAAATAATCTAAAAAGAAATCTTCATGCTCCTAAAAAACATTCAGATGTGCATTAAAAAAAAAAGAGATAAAGACATTTTCATGCCCAGATACTTTCACTAGTGAATTCTGCCCAACATTTAAAAAATAACACCAAATCTATACCATCTCTTCCATAAACCATAAGAAGAGGAAAAACTTCCCAACTCACCTTCTGAGATCAATATTTCCTTCATTCTAAAACCAAAGACACTCTAAGAATAGAAAACTACATACCAATATCCCTCATCAACATAGATTCAAAACTCCTTGAATAAGCATTATCAAATAAAATTCAGTGATACATAAAAGCGTAACATACCAACTGAGGTTTATCCTGAAAATACAAGACCAGTTCATTATTCAAAAACCAAGCAATGTATTCTATCACACAAGTAGTCCAAAGAAGAAAAACTATATGACCGATTGATAACATTTTAGCATTTTAAAAAATTCAACATCCATTTATAACTAAAAACAAAAACCAAAAACCCTCTCAGCAAAGTGGCAATAGAAGGGAACTTCCTCAACCTGATAAAGAACATGTACAAAAAACTGACAGCCAACTTCATACTTAATCATAAAAGTTTCAATACTTTCTTTGCTCAGGAAGAAACAGAAATATCCACTGTCACTCTTTTAAACACTGTGCTGGAAGTGTTAGCCAGTACAGTACAGCAGTAAAAGTAAATTAAAAGGCAAACAGACTGGCAAGAAACCAAACTGTCTCTTGTCTAGTGGCAAGCAATTTGATTATCTCCATATAAAATCCAAAGCAATGTACAAAGCAGCTCTGGAACTAATAAATGAGGTTTGCAAGGTTGTAGGATATGAAGTCAACACATAAAAATCTATCCTATCTCTCTATACTGGTATCAACAAATGGAAACCAAAATTTTGGTGGAAACAGGATGTCCAAATAAAAACATCTGAACCCTAATGTAAACTTCACACCTTATATGAAATGAACTCAAAACAGATCACAGATGTAAGTATAAACCATAAACCTACAAAACTTTTAGAAGAAAACACAGGAGAAAAACTTCCTAAGCTGGGGTTTGGCTATGTAGCCTCCACAGCAATTATCACTGCCTTCCAAGATCTTCCTCACTGATTTGCTGGCTTGTTCTACCGTCCTTCGACCCTCCACCCAAACCAGAACGTGGACTGTCCTGCTCCCTCTGCATATTCACATCTAAAATAATGTCTGGTAAACCGGAAACTCCTCAGACTACTTCTAGATGAATGAACGGACGGATGGATGAACTAATTGAACACCGTTCAGGAACGGGTGCTCTGTCAACAGCCCTGAAATCATTCTCAACTTTCGAAGACTCTTCAACGATGTGCCTCAGTTTAAGCTATAATATAAGTGTATTCTCCAAGAGGCTCAGAAGACTCATCCCATGCTTTAAAAACCTAAGCACAGAGGGGCACCTGGGGGGCTCAGTTGGGTTAAGCCTCTGCCTTCGGCTCAGGTCATGATCTCAGGATCCTGGGATCGAGCCCCCTATCAGGCTGTTTGCTCGGCAGGGAACCTGCTTCTTTCTCTCTCTGCCTGCCTCTCTGCCTACTTGTGATCTCTCTCTGTCAAATAATTAAATAAAATCTTTAAAAAAAAAAAAAAACCTAAGCACAGAAAGATTAAGCGATTTGAAGTCACACAAATCACCACCTGAGTCAGGATACAGGAGATAACACCACAGGAAACTCCTTTCCTTATTTGCAATGGGGCTTAATCATTTCTTCAAAAACCCGCTTCCTTACACGAGTAGCTCTTTCCTGCCGACCACAGGATAGGTTTCACCTGAAATCAAACAGCCGGAGTCAAAGCTTGGGCGGGGTGAGTGCGAGCTGGCAAACCAGCGCACAGGCGATGAGCTGGCGGAGGGTAGGCGCCCAACCTCCGCGGCGTCCTGAGGCGGCGCCTCGGCACCTTCCACACTAGCCCCCACCCGCGGCCCGGCCGCCACCGCGCGGGCTGCGGCCCGCCTCCTGGAACTCACGGATCTCGTGTCCCGCCGCCGCCGCCGCAGCCTCTCGAGGCGCCTCCCGCTTCGGGATCCAGGGCCGGCCCGCTGCACCCCTCAGATCTTCCCGGAGGCCCTTCACGGCCGTGGCCGCCCCTTGCAGCAGCTCCCTGGCGGCCGTCCGCTGATCCGGGATGCTCTGGCCGGGGTCCATGTAGGTCGTCGCTGCCCGCGGAGCGCCGGCAGGCACAGTCTGGCCGCTGCTTTTTACCCCGCGGTGTTTCGTCAGCTCGCCCGGGTTCTCCCGCCCGGCCCAGCTCCGCCGCGTGGAATGGCCCACCTGCGGGTGTGGCCTGCGGGCACGTCTTAGGATTGGGTTTTACCTGAAGGAAAGCGCTCAGGAGAGAACGCCCAACTCACTCTTTAGTTCTTCCTACAACTTTGAGAAATGTCCAGGCTGGATTTATAACCACACTATGAGAACTTCAATATTAAATCATTTCTGAATGGGCTTCCAGAATTTTCTTTTGAATTAAGTAAGACTCTCAATTTTTTCTCTGAAGGTGTAAACCTTGTTATCCTTTTTTTTCTCCCCCCAAAGATTTTGTTTGTTTCAGAAAGAGAGGACAGAGCATGAGTGCGCGCGGGGGGTGGAGGAAGAGGGAGACGATCTTAAGCAGGGACCCCAATAAGCGTGAGACCCAAGTGGGGCTCGATCGCAGCACCCTGAGATCATGACCTCAGCCAAAACCAAAAGTCAGACGCTTAAAAGACGGACACCCAGTCGCCCCCTTGGTATTCCATTTTAAACCCAGTCATAACCTATTGGACTGCCCATCTTAGGTTGTTTTTTTTCTTCTTTGTGATTTATGAAATAAAAAATTGACTAAATATAGGATCCTGGGCAACCATGTGCGTAGCTAAAATTCTCATCATATTAAAGAAAAGTAGAATACTGAAGGACAACCAGGACCTCTGCCCTCAATCCACCGCACCCAAGCACAGTGGGTTTGATGCGTTACAAAACAAAGTAAAACCATGGCACATCTCACACCTGTGGATGGCTTCAGAGGTCAAATAGGAAGTTTAGCGCGTTCTAGGAGTGAAAAAAAAAAAAAATTAAGTCCTTATAAAACAGAGCTAGATTTGACCCCAGAACTGACCCACCCTTTATACAAACACACACACACACACACACACACACACACACACACGCACACGCCTAAGAATATTAGGAGAGCATTGCCTATAAAAACACACAAGACAGTTTAAAGAGAAATAAACTAATGAAAGCTGAGAAATATGTTGGATGAGATTAGGCAACTGCTGAGGACTTGACAAAAGGAAAGAAAAGAAGTGGACATTTTCAAAAGGTCCTACAAGTGTAGACAGAATTCAGTTATAGACAAGGGTTTGGATAGGTTGTGTGTGTACACACAAATATATGTATATCTATGTATACACACACACATGTATGTATTTTTATGTATATGAATGTATTCTGAGTTTGAAATAATAAACTTAAGAGACTGGCATTAGAAGTAAAGGGTTAACACTATTTGCCTCTGAATTTTCTTCTGTCTCTGAGCAATAATGAGGAAATAAGACTCATTAACAAAAAAGAAGAAAAGACTCATAAATTACTTCACATTTGTAAGAACAGTTCATTATGGTTTGCTTAATAAATGAAATTACATTTCCAATACTCACTATAATAACATTCGAATTTTTCTTGAACAACTGTTAATCCAACTGTTTTGGTTTGTATTACCAAGGAAAAGTGATTATCTTTTAATGATACAACAAAAGGACAGTTTTTGCTCTGGGAAATAAACACCATTGCTCTGTGAAGTTCACTAAAATCTTATCAGCACCAGGTATGTTCAAATTTAGCACTACTTTTCAAAATGGAATATTACTTTTAAAAAAATCAGCACTAGGAACCAAGGACAGTATTCAAAATGGAATATTTCCTCAAAAAACATGTTTTAAGCCTTAGGTTAAATAGTACATTTTGGAGCCATCTTCCAAATACTCCCAAGCCACGCCAAAAGGCCATAGTAATAAAATATTTATAACGCAAGCCATTATCCAATAAAAGGAAAGAAATGCAATTCCTTCCTTCTGAAAGGCCCATCCCTTAGGGCCCAGTTTGAGTGCAGCCACCCTACATCAGCCACGGCTTTTTCTTCCCAGAGAAAGTAAGATAGTAATAGACACCACTCTTTGGTTACATATGACTTATTCATTCATAGGTCATTAAATAATAGTAACACTACGTGCCAGACCATATACTTCACACCTAGAATTCAGAGATCTAGTGGGACAAGATTGCAGCGAAGCCATAGCAAAGAATGTCTCATTGTCCTCATAGAGAAAAAATAGGAGCACAAAGGAGTGACTGACCAGTTTTTCCAGAGGGCAGAGACCCTCTCCTGAATGTGGCCCCTGGGGTTAAGTTCGGTATGGAGGGAGCGAGAGCAAAGTTGTGCATGGTGGGAGAGAGAGTGTATGACCAGGAAGTACATTCTGGACAGAGGGAGCAACCAAGCACCATACCAGAAGGAAGCAATAGCTTGGTCTATTCAGGAAACTCTAAGCTATGCAGTGTGACTTGATTGGCCTTGAATGCCAAGTCTGTGTTTTTCATGTAACATGATATATGGGTGCTAGCTTGTATTGGCTTGCAAGAGTAGATAGTTAAATTTTCAGGAATTTTGTGAACTGGCTTTTTAGTAGGATTTCGGTCACATATGTGCAGTTTAAAGAATAGTTTTATGGTAAACCTTTATGCAGTGAACCACCCAAGAAATAGAGCACTGTCAGCATCCCAGCAGCTCTATGTACCATTCCCAAATCACATTTCTCTACCTCCCCACAGAGGAAATCATTATTCTCTCAGGACAAAAACATACTTGCTTTTCTTAATAATCTTATTTCATATGGATAAATCCTCAGAACAATAGTTTCAACGGTTTTGAACTTTATATAAATGTATTCGTGCTGGTGGTATGCTATGACTTGCCATCTATGACTTACTTTACTCCTCAGATTGTTTGTGATATATATCTACTTTCTTCTAAGATTTTATTAATTTGAGAGAGACAGTGTAAGAGCGTGCATGAATGGGGGGAGGGGCAGAGGGAGCAGGACAACCAGACTCCCTGCTGAGCAGGAAGCCCCATGTAGGGCTTAATCCCAGGACCCTCAGATCATGACCTGAGCCCAAGTCAAATGCTTAACCTACAGAGCCACCTGATAGATATTCCTCTACTTTCTGATTAGCTATTTCCTCCATTTTTACCACTGTGTAGAATTCCATTGCTTGAATATACATGAATATACAATGGTAGAATTAAATTAATATTTATTTTCCATTTTTGCTATTACAGTGCTGCTAGGAGCATTCTTGTACCTACTTCCTAAGGAATGTGTTCAGTAGTTTTCCCAAGACATTGTATCAGGGCTGTAGAAGGAAAAAAAACTATATTTTGAGATGAGTTTTTGAAAAGGACCATTTACAAAGGTGTGGGGAAACACAAAAGATGGTGCAGCACCCCAAAACTAATAAAAGCAAAGCTTTGTTGACACCTCTAGGCTGAAAGGGTGAGGGAAGGAAAAGATTATCAGAACCTGAAGAGAGGGGGCACCTGGCTGGCTCCGTTGGAAGAGTATGCGACTCTTGATCTCAGGGTCATGCGTTGGAGCCCAACACTGGGTGCAGAGATAACTTTAAAAAAAAATAAATAAATAAAGCTTAAAAAGAAAAAAAAAAAACCTTAAGAGAGAGGAGAGAACACAGTATAAAAAACTTGTGACCTTGGGTCAAGGGACCTAACCAACTCTAGATGATCGTATAATATGGTACATGTGGGAATAAATACCCAACTTCATTTTCTTTTCTCCCTGAAATCTGTAGTGGTTCCCCCATTGCCACAGCCCCTTACTGCATGGACAGAAAGCAGGGAGAAGGGTCAAGAGTAAATCTGGAGAGCAAATGGAGTTTATTTAGGAGTGCAATTGCTGGGTTGTTAAATGTACACATCTTCAAATTTATTGAAGAAAAGCAAACTGTTTTCCAAAGTGATTGTCTTCAAAGTAGAGTTCACCCTGCTCCACATAATCACCAAAATTTAATAACACGGGATCTTTTCATTTTTGTGAATCTGGTAGGGATGTAATGATACCTCTTTGTGGTTTTATTTTTCACTTCCCTATTACTACAATGGCTGAGATTGTGTTCATGTTTCCTGGCCATTTGGATTTCTTTTTATGTAAAGTGACATTTAAAGTCATTTGCGTGATTTCTACTAGCTATTTGTCTTTTTCTTTTTTTAACACATAGGAGTCATTTATATCTTCAGGATTACATATTCTGGATTGAGTTTTTGGCCAGTAATATGTGTCACAAATATGTTCTCCCAGGTGGTTTCCCTGTATTTTGACCCTCTAAGTAGATAAGATCAAAGGTGTTTGTTCTTCGAAGTTTTGCTTTATTTCCTAAAAATACTGCAAAGCAAAATTATAACAAAAAGTAGATGAGTTAGGTATATTAGCTAAAATAGATAGAAAAGAATGTGGAGAGAATTCTGGGCAAAGAGAATAAAAGAGAAAGAATCAGAGGTGGGAAAAGAGTAGAAAAATAAGAAAACCATTTTTATTGGCTAAAAGAGCAATTAAACATTTGCAATTTTATTTTAAATTATTATTAAATATTACTAAATGATAACATTAAATTAAATGAATCATCTACATGAAAATAATTTCATATTTACTCTAAAGTTGAAAACACAATAAAAATAAACCCAAGGCAAGATAGGAACAACTAAATATAATACAATTAACTTTACAATACATTAAATCAGCACTTTACTGAACTTAATTTATACAGAATTTAGTTACATAAATCACACAATCAAGACCCCCAGCTCTACAACTCTGAATTTGCTATAGTATATGATAATAAGGCCTGAGATTGGCATGCTAATAAATATTAAACCTAATTTTAAACAATCTAGTTATTTCAAGTCAAGTTACCACTTTAGTCAAAGGCTATGTGAGATCCCAATTTAACCTATTTCTAAAATATTATATCTTCATAAATTTGACAGAGTTATAAAATATGAAAAGTAGGAAAAGAGAAAACAAAAATATAAGAAACAAAAAATTTAGTTCCTTAAAGAAGTAATGGAAAATGATTCCATTTTCATGTTTCCATTACATAATTGTTTTTTGAAAAAAATTATATGAATAGCACAAAGTATTTGGATTAACTACTTAAGCTAATAAGTGTTAAGCTGTCTTCTCTCACAAATATTAATAAAAATGTGATAGAAATATAGCTAAGATAAATAAGATGTTTTAATACACATTAATCTTTTGTACTGAACACTTTTCTCTAAAGGGTTATAATAAAAATAAAGTGAGTACGCAATTTATCCTTTTTTATAGATCTTTGTAAAGCATAAACATAACTCTCAAAGAATGAAATACCACCATTTTAAAGTCCTACAAAAAAACTTAATTACCTTGAATCTTAGACTAAATATTTTTTACAGTGAACCATGTGCTTATTCATAAGATAAAGGAATTCTAAGCAAAAAAAAAAAAAAAAAATCAAACGGATAATCCTATTTTAAACAATTATTTTAACACAAAATAATACTGTGATACTATTTTTCTGAAGGTAACAAAACCTTCATCCTTGCTCTGCCAAGCTAATATTCTTCATAGAACTTCTGATAATTTTTTAAAAGATTTTATTTATTTGAGAGAGAGAAAGAGAGGTGAGAGAGAGAGCTCTCGAGAGTGCATGACTAGGGGGAGGGGCAGAAGGAGAAGACTCCCAGCTGAGCAAGGAGCCTGACTACCACTTGGGGCTTGACCCCAGGACCCCAGGATCATAACCTGGGCCAAAGGCAGACCCTTAAGTGCTTAACTGACTGCGCTACCCAGGCACCCCACACAGGGTTTCTTTTCAAGAAGTTCATGATTCACCCACAATACCTCAATTCTCATGACACCTCCCTTCAGAGAATGAAGGCAAAAAGGAGACAGGTCCTTGCCGCGAGAGCTATTTATCAGAGTCCACTTTCAGTGAGTGAGTCCCTGAAAGGTGGGTTCAGTGCTTGGAGGCAGGGCCACTGGCTGGCTTAGCAACTTGTCCATTATGTTGATTTTAGCATCATGCTTCTCACTGTCCTCAGGACAAGTCATGCTGTAGCTTGTAGGCACCAAGGAGTCATGTGGACAACCTGTCCCCCATTCCTTTGGAGAAATAATAGAAAAATACTGCTGACCACTTTCCCATTTATAAAGGTAGTAAATGTTGCCAGGTTTTAGTGGTTTGTTTGTTTGTTTGTTTGTTTTTTTTTTTTTTACTATATTACAAGCTACATGATGCAAGTCAGCGTCTTTGTATCTTCCATACCTTCCTGGTTGGTTATTTTATTTTATTTTTTTAAATATTTTATTTATTTATTTGACAGAGAGAGAGATCACAAGTAGGCAGAGAGGAAGGCAGAGAGAGGGTGGGGGGGAAGCAGACTCCCTGCCAAGCAGAGAGCCTGATGCGGGGCTCAATTCCAGGACCCTGAGATCATGACCTAAGCTGAAGGCAGAGGCTTAACCCACTGAGCCACCCAGGCGCCCCTGGCTGGTTCTTTTAAGTGTTGGATTTGCTCAGCTATGACCATCAGTTTGTAAGTGGCATTTGCTTGGATGAATTCATCAGCCTTCTGCACCTGTTCTGCGAGTACCATATGGTCTAAGGGGTCCCTGGCCCAGTGGGTGTGGTAGGAGCTTACCAGGGCCAGGCCATCGGGGTTTGAGGTGCACTCCACCAAGGCTCCTCCCTGACCTGTCGCCAGCTGAACTCTGGTGTTGGGGACCTCCTCCATCTGCCTCTGATTTGCAGCATCCTCCATGAAAACATCTGAAACCTCCCCTACCACTCTCCCCAATAAATTATAATATGAATGCTCATGAAGTATCTGAAGACACTACAATTTAAAATATGAATATACAAAATTGTAGCCGTTACTAAAACTGAGTAGTCCAGTACCAACAAAGTGGTTAACTGCTGGAAAGTTCTTTTTTTTTTTTTTTTTAAGATTTATTCTACTTATTTTAGAGAGAGAGAGCGTGGGCAGGAGAAGGGGCGGAGGGAGAGTGAGAAAATTCTCAAGCAGACTCCCCACTGAATGTGGAGCCCCACACAAGGCTCGATCTCAGAACCCTGAGATCATAACCTGAGCCAAAATCATGAGTCAGGTGCTTAACCTTAACTAAGCCAGCCAGGTGCCCCAGTGCTGAAAAATTCTTATGCTAAACTAGGTTTGTGTGGACTTCTGAAAGCCCTTATAAATATGTTTTTATATTCACTATAAAACATGATAAGGAAAAAAATCATTTTTTGATTCCATCCTAATTTCTCATTTTAAAATTAGCTCTAACAGGACTGATTTCTGATTGATGTATAATAGAAGTGAAATTCTCATGGTTATCCAAAAGATGTTTACAAAAGTTAATTAGCACATATTCCAAATTCATATAAAAGAAATGTCATTTGGGGAGGATTTATTGCACTTGCCTTTCACTACATGAATCTGTAAACTTAATGAAGAAGAGATCCATTGATTATAAAATAAAAAGTTTCTTATTAAGAATAAAATGTTCAATGATAAAATGTTCAATGTTCATTTAAAAAATACATCAAGAGTGTGTCTGGGATTGTTTGGTTTTGTTTTCTTTGATGCTGAGTCCTTTGTCATCAATCCTGGCCTGGAATAGAAAAGAATACACAGTTAAAATGCAGGAAGATATTTGAAAAATGTTTTGCGAATCTTTGATTTTTTAAAAAATTTTACTTGATCTATAAGAGCAAATTTTACAACTCCTAAAAATTAAACCTCAAAATATAACAATTTTATAGCCAGCTCTATTAAAACTCAAATTAGCCATACCTTTTTGGTTTTGTTGCAGTCTTCTGCACTCTGCCTGAGTTATCTTTAGTGAAAGAAAAGTCAAGAAATGCCATAATGAACAACATGAAATTAAAAAGCTGTATAAAAATCTAAAAAGTTAAAGCTGATTGATTAGAGATAATAAAAAACTTTGTTAGTACTACATAGTTCATATTTAGACACACCAAAAACTAACTTTATTGAATAATTTCTTTATAATTTACTTATTTTATGGTATTATACTTAATTTTATTTTTGCAGTTGGGCTAGAGTCAGACTACCAAAAAACAACTTAAAGAGGCTTTCTGGCTGGGTGATTATAGTTAATTTACCGCTGTGCTTCAGCAAAATTTCTCTGAAGGAATTTCTTTCCTTTTTTTTTTTAAATTGAAGTATAGTTGACACACAATGTTATATTAGTTTAGGTGCACAACATAGTAATTGAACAAGTTTATATGTTATGCTGTGCTCACCACAAATGGAGCTACCGTCTGTCACCACAGAGCACTATTTCAATACCACTGACTATATTCCCTAAGCTGTACCTTTTATCCCTGTGAGTTATTCATTCCAAGGGAATTTTGCCTTTGATTAGATTACTCGGCTCCCCTAAATGCCTGAGTTCGTTCCCTGCTAAATTAAGCCCAGAACAGTTTTGCCAAAATTTAAAATCTAATGGCTTCAGTTAATTCTAACCCATGCTAAGGTAACTGATATATCCCTAAATGGCAGCATACACAGTCTATCCCTTTAATAGTATGCATTTTAGATTTAATAACAATGTTAATTTTAATAAAACGTTCCTAGAAAATCGAGTTCTTTAAAATGACTGCAAACTCACCAGTACTTTGGGCGCTTTCTCTGGGTTGGTTAGCTACACTAACTTTTTCCATTCTCAGTTCCTGGATAATGCCTTTATTTAAACATACATCCACATGCACATTGAACAGGGTAAGATCCGAAGTCTTTTGCTCTAGGTTACAAACAGGACAAACTAGAGGTTGGTCTGTTATCTCTTCATGTAAATAAGACTTGGAGGATTCTTGCCGACTTAATGACCCAATATCTTCCAATGAAACAGTAGAGGAAGAATTGTGACACCGTGTGTCAATATTAAATGATTTGCTTGAAAGACTAGCACATTCCTCTTTGCTGTGCTTATCACTTAAGCCAGCTATACTTTTTGCTTTACGTGGGTTATCTTCAGTCTCCACTAGCTCTACACAATTTACTGAACTGATTTCTGAATCCTTCTGGTGGGTTTCATAATCCTGCTTCCCATGGAGTGAGAATGAAGGATGTACATTTTCTTTCTTGTTAACTTCTGTAGAGGAAGCGTGTGAACATGAGAACACATTGGAGTTTTCACTGATCAAATGTCCATCAAGACATGCATCTATATGTTTATTAAAGGCTTCCAGACTGATGCTTCTTTGCTCCCTAAAGCAAATTGGGCAGGTAAATATCTGAGAGTTATTTGAATTCTCCGACGTTTCTAAATTCTCATTCATCTTCTTCTTTAAAACTTGAACTGAATATGATGTCTGTAAACTTGGTTTACCCAAAGCTTCACATTTAAATGTGTCTTGATGGCTCCATTTCCTTTCTGATCGCTTTTTATCAAAGAAACTCTTCTTATGAGATATTTCTAGAGGTTTTTGAAACTGATCTTTGTCAGTTTTCTCTAGCATATACCCAGTGGCTGACAGAGTTGGGTTTCCAGCCTGTAAGAAGCCAATAATGCTCCTTTGTTGGTGCTTCTTATCTTCTTCACTGGGAAAACCGGACAACCGTACACCTAAATTAAACCAACCACAATTACTTTCTTAACAAAGCCAATTCACTCATAATGCATAATAGTATTTTGCATAATATTGTTGTGACATATATACAAAAGGATGTTTAGAGAAAAAAATAAGCAATATGGCATATTTTCTGAATTAAAGTATACTTTCTCAAAATGGGTATTTCGCATGAAGTTTACCTTCCTTTATAAAACTGGATATCATAAATAGCATCTGTTTGGCATCGTTAGATAATAATTATATAATTATTTAATTATATAATTAAATAATATTTAATTATTTGACAGAAGATACCATTAAATACCAACTAACTGACTGGAGTCAACTTCACAGACTCTAGCTCTTTTTTCCCAATAGCCTTGTTTTTTAGAGCACTTTTAGGTTCACATCGAAAGTGAGCAGAAAGGTCAGAGTTCCTACATATCCTCTGCCCACACCATGCACAGCCTCCTCCAATCAATATCCTGCAGCAGAGTGATATGGTTGTTACAACTGATGAACCTATGTTGATATAACATTAACACTCAAAGTCCATAGATTACATTAGGGTTTATTCTTGGTGTTGTACATCCTATGGATTTTGACATGTTTAATGATATGTATCCATCATTATAGAATCATACAGAATAGTTTTTACTGTTCTAAAAATCCTTTGTGCTAATTCTATTCATCCCTTCCCTACCACCTACCCTTGACATCCACTGATCTTTTCACTGTCTCCACAGTTTTGTTTTTTTTTAAACATTTTATTTATTTATTTGACAGACAGAGATCACAAGTAGGCAGAGAGGCATGCAGAGAGAGGAAGGGAAGCAGGCTCCCCGCCGAGCAGAGAGCCCGATGCGGGGCTCGATCCCAGGACCCCGGGATCATGACCCGAGCTGAAGGCAGAGGCTTAACCCACTGAGCCACCCAGGCGTCCCAAGTCTCCGCAGTTTTGTCTTTTCTGGGATGTCATATAGTTCAAATCACACAGTATTTAACCTTTTCACATTGGCTTCTTTCACTTAAAAAAATACATTTAAGGTTCGTCATTGTCTTTTCATGGCTTGATAGCTCATTTCTTTTACGCACTAAATGATATTCCATTGTCTGTCCCAGTTTCCAATCATCTACTACTGAAGGACATTTTGGTTATTTCCAAATTTTGGCAATTACGAATTAAGTTGTTATAAACATAGGCTCTTTAGCTCTTTCAATCAACATACTTTATTCAATCAATTTCACGTGTATGCTATGTTTCATATATGAAAGTACAGCTAATGATCCACTCTTAGCAGTAAAGGTGGCATCTGGAGTGCTTATCCATGAGCATCCTCTCACGCAATTCACTTTAGAAACTTGTTTTGTGGGCGCCTGGTGGCTCAGTGGGTTAAGCCGCTTCGGCTCAGGTTATGATCTCAGGGTCCTGGGATCGAGTCCCACATCGGGCTCTCTGCTCAGCAGGGAGCCTGCTTCCCTCTCTCTCTCTGCCTGCCTCTCTGTCTACTTGTGATCTCTGTCTGTCAAATAAATAAATAAAATCTTTAAAAAAAAAAAAAAGAAACTTGTTTTGTTAATTTGTTTGTTCACCACGCAGTGGCTGCAGATACGGTTTTATATTGTTATAATTCCTTATCTGCAATTCTGAAATCTAAGGAGCTCTAAAAATTGTAACCAACAAATGGTAATTAATGACCGAATTGATGTGAGACTATTTAGAGTCTTTCTAACCTATTGTGAATATTTTCTTGTTTTGCTACAAAAATATTAATGTGTTCATCATGAGGTGGTGCCTCAGATACCAAAGGAGTACTACATAATGTACTCAATATGTACTGTATTTGTTTCCTAAAATCTGAAAGGTTGTAAATTTTGAAACATACCTATCCCCAAGGATTTCAGTAAGTAGGAAGGAAAAGATCAACTGTAATTGGTTCTTACAGGAATTAAATTAATGAGCATGGTTTCACTTACATCAGGTTCTAAGAACTAAGAAAAATGGCAGCATAGGTACAAACTCCTAAACAGGTTTAAGAAAAAAATGAAGGAGAGAGAGAGAGACTATTTCCTAAGTTGATTTCTTTGGGAAAATCTAGCAGATTTAAGGAAAAACAAGAAAAGGCATACCCATAAGTCTTAATCTCAAAGGATGTGGAAAATCAGCATCAATTTCTGTTCTTAGCAATTCTTTAGCAATAGCAAATATTTCTTCTGCAGTAGAAACAACAGATGAAACTGTAGATGCACGAGTTTTTACTTCAAAATTTACATTCTTCAGTTTAATGGTAACAGTTCTACCCTACAACCAACAGAATACATTATTATATACAGTTTTCTAACTTCTAGAAAAAAGTTATTTTGTACGTTAGAAAAAATTCAAAAACATGTCTTACATACACATAATATAGACGTATAATCAATTATTTATGAAACATGGTAATGAAATCTGTCAAAAAGAATAAATGAAATATATAAGCAACCTAAAAAATCCCATTTTAGCCAATAATTATTACTTCCTACCCAAATGAATTTTTATAAAAGGACTTTTTATATAAAAAGCAACATTAACTGATCATTTTTCTTTTTACTAAATCTCTTTTAGATTTCAGTACCTAAAAAGAGAGGAAAAATGCTTCTTAAAGGGGTCTCCATTGAAAGGGTCTTATAGACAGCTCACAGTTATTGTGTATCTACTATATGCCAGACACTATGCTAACCCATTTACATGTAAGAAGTCTCTTTACTGTTATTTCTTAATGGGTACAGAATTTCAGTTTGAGATAATGAAAAAGTTCTGGAGATTGATAGTGGTGATGGTTGCACCATATGAATGCCACAGAAATGTAACTTAAAAATAGTTAAAATGGTAAATTCTATGTTACATATATTTTACTACCTCCTGGAAGTTCTGAGAGTGGGCTGACTGACTCACTTCCAAAGAATAGAGTATAGAAAGGGAAAAATAGTAACTTCACAGAGGAGAAGCCTAGCAAACACTCACTTAATCAGGTGACAAATGTTACTACCCCTGGTGATACCTTGTGGCCATCCTATACCTTGAAAGGATGTAGTGAAGAGATTTCAACTCTGGTATTCTTTCTAAAAATCCAAAACCCTGGTCTAATCATAAGAAAAACATCAGCCAAGCCTAGATGGAAAGACACCCTGCAGGATTCCTGGCCAATAGTCCTTAAGACATGAAGGTCAAGAAAAGCAAGGAAATACTGAGAAACTGTTAACAGATTAGAGGAGACAAGGAGACAAGACGACTAAATGCAGTGTGGTTTCCTGGACTGAATCCGGGAACAGAAAGAGGACATTAATGGAAAAACAGTAAAATCCAAATAATGTCTGGAGTTTTGTTAATAGCTATGAGCTAATTTTAGTTTCTTGGCTTGACAAAAGTACTATGACAATATGGCTAAAATAACATAAGATGTTAATAGTGTGGGAAACTGGGTATATCAGAACTCTCTATATTATCTATACTACTTTTCTGTATATATGAAATGATTCTAAAATTACAGGTTTATTAAAAAAATTTTAAATCAACTCTCTTTATACTTAAGGTATGATAGAGAAGGATTATAAGAAATATATAGGGGAGAGCAGTAGAAAAAAAAGAAATATATAGATATCCCATTCTAATAACTTCGTTGTTTTCTGTTTTTTATTTTTTGGGGATAACCTTTGAATATCTTTGTATTATACTTTGTAATAACTCCACCTCTGGTTTCAGAGTTTGGAAGATTACTAAATATGGATTGTTGTGAGTAAAGATTATAAAATAGAAATTTAAAACCTTCCAGGTTTTATTTGCAATGTGTTAAACAACCTAGAATAAGGGCCTTGAAACAAAATGTTATTCTAGAAAATTATTGTCTACCTGAGAAAAACAGTAAAGGAGGGTTGGAAAGATATTTATACAAAGTAAATATAGTTCCAGAGAAATCCTTACCTTTGCTGTATTCTCTAATGTCAATATAACTCTGATTTTGAACTTACTCAAATGTACTCCAAATTCTGGAATTATACTGGAGCCAGTCCACTGTTGTAAGTTGCTTCTTCATCTAATCATCTTATTATAGGCCTCAATTACAGGTCAGAATCAAATTTATCTCTATTGGGGATGGGAATAATCCTTTCTAATGCGTCTCAATTTGTACTCAAACGTAAAACCTAACTCTTCCTTTAAGGTATCATTTTACTATTAAAATTTTTTTAAACCAGGGGCACCTGGGTGGTTCAGATGGGTAAGTGCCTGCCTTCGGCTCAGGTCATGATCTCCCGGTTCTGGGATCCAGCCCCACATCCCGTTCCTCGCTCACCAAGGAGTCTGTTTCTCCCTCTGCCTCTCCCCCCTCATGCTTGCTTGCTCTCTCTCTCTCTTTCTCTCTGTCTCAAATGAATAAATAACATCTTTAAAGAAGTTTTGCTTTTTTTGTAAACTAAGAAGACCACATCAAAATAAAGTACCTTTAGTCCTTCTTTCTGCAGATCTTGAGCAAGTTCACTGCAAAGTTCCTGGCACAAGCTATATTGTTCCTCTGCTTTACTTATTTCATTGAATGTCCTAGAAAGACAAAAATGATTTTGGTGCACAGAGTAAACTATAATCCCGGATAATTAAGGAGTGATAAAGTATGTTTAAATAGCTTAGCATCAAGTTATATTTTCTGCAGTACAAAATAAAATTTTCAGATGAACTAAAATATAATTAAGGAAAAACGTCTAAAATCTATGTAAATAATGGAAGATCATTTGTAGTTAAACTGATTACCAAAAGTACATTTGCTTTATCTATAATATTTTTTAAAAAGTTGATTAAAGTCTGACATATCATATCAATAAGAGAAAGTATAAAAATCATATGATCATTTCAATAGATGCAGAAAAAGCATTTCACAAAGTATAACAACCACTCATGATAAAAACCCCAACAAAATAGGTTTAGAGGAAACATATCTCAACATAATAAAGGCCTTACATGAAGAACCCACAGCTAACATCATTCTCAATGGGGAAAAACTGACAGCCTTTCCTTTAAGGTCAGGAACAAGATAAGGATGTCCACTCTCACCACTTTTATTCAATACAGTATTAGAAGTCCTAGCCACAGCAATTAGACAACATAAAGAAATTAAAGGCCTCCAAATTGGTAAGGAAGAAGTAAAACTTACACTATTAGACATGATATCATCTATAGAAAACTGAAGATTCCACCAAAAAACTACTAGAACTGATAAATGAGTTCAGTAAGGTCACAGGGTACAAAATCAATGTATAGAAATCCACTGCACTTCCATACACTAATTATGAAACAGCAGAAGGAGAAATTAAGAAAATAATCCCATTTGCAATTGCACCAAAAACAATAAAATACCTAGGAATAAACGTTACCAAAGAAGTGAAAGACCTGTACTCTGAAAACTATACAATATTGATAAAAGAAATTAAGATGACACAAATGGAAAGACATTCCATGCTCATGTTTAGAAGAACAAATATTGTTAAAATCCCTACACCACCCAAAGCAATCTACAGATTAAATGCAATCTCTATCAAAATTCCAACAGCACTCTTAACTATAAGGAACAAACTGAGGTTTGCTGGGTTTGGGGAGGGTAATTGGGTGATGGACATTAAGGGGGACACTGATGTAATGTACACTGGGTGTTATATGCTAATGGTGAATCATTAAATACTACCCCTGAAACTAATATGCTATATGTTAACTTATTTGAATTTAAATAAAAATCTAAAAAAAAAAAATAGCAAGAGCATTTTTTGCAGAACTAGAAAAAACAAACCTAAAATTTGTATGAAACCACAAAAGGCTCAAAATAGCCATAGTAATCTTCAAAAAGCAAAGCAAAGCTGGAGTTATACTACAAAGCTATAGTAATCAAAACAGTATGGTAGTAGCACAAAAATAAGCAACAGATCAATGCAACAGAACAGAAAGCCAGAAATACACCCACAATTATATGGCCAATTAGTCTTTAACAAAGGAAGCAAGAAGATGCAATGGGAAAAAGATAGTCTCTTCAACAAACGGTATTGGGAAAATTGGACAGCTACATGCAAAAGAACATATTGTTACACCATACACAAAAAGAAACTCCAAATGGATTAAGGACCTAATGTGAGACCTGAAAACAAAAATCCTAGAAGAGAGCACAGACAGTAATTTCTCTGACATCATTCATAACAACATCTTTCTAGATATGTCTCTCAAGGCAATGGAAACAAAAGCAAAATATAAACTATTGGGACTACATCAAAATAAAAAGGCTTTGCTCAGCAAAGGAAACAACCAACAAAACCAAAAGACACCCTATGGAATAAGAGAAGATATTTGCAAATAATATGTCTGGTAAAGGGTTAGTGACCAAAATATATAAAGAATGAGACAACTCAACACACACACACACAAAATAATCCAATTTAAAAATAGGCAGAAGACGTGGACAGACATTTCTCCAAAAAAGACTTACAGATGGCTAACAGACAAATGAAAAGATGCTTAACATCACTCATCAGGGAAATGCGAATCAAAACCATAACAAAATATCACCTCATGCCTGTCAGAATGGCTAAAATCAAAGACTCAAGAAACAAGTGTTGGCAAGGATGTGGAGAAAAAGGAACCCTCCTGCCTCCTGTGCTGTTTGTGGGGATGCAAACTGGTGTGGCCACTCTGGAAAACAGTATGGAGGTTCCTCAAAAAATTAAAAATAGAACTATCCTATGATCCAGTAATCACACTACTGGGTACTTACCCAAAGAATTTGAAAACATCAATTTTAAGGGATATATGCACCCTAATGTTTATTGCAGCATTATCTGCAATAGCCAAATTATGGAAGCAGCCCAAGTGTCCATTAACTGAGGAATGGATAAAGAAGATGTGGTATATAAATATATATATACATAATATTACTTGGCCATTAAAAAAAGAAAGAAATCTTGCCATTTGCAAAGACATGGAGGGATCTAGAGAGTATAATGCTAAGCAAAATATGTCAGACAGAAAAAACCAAATACCATGATTTCACTCATACGTGGAATTTAAGAAACAAAACAAAGGAAAAGAAAAGAGAAAACAACAAAAACAGACTCTTAACTACAGAGAACAAACAGATGGTTACCAGAGGGGAGGTAGGTAGGGGAACAGGTGAATAGGTGGTGGAGATTGAGAGTACACTTATCTTGAAGAGCACTGACTAATATATGGAACTGCAGAATCACTATATTGTGCACCCGAAACTAATATAACACTGTACCTTAACTACACTGGAAATTTTTAAAAAGCTGATTAAAATCACCAACGGATAATGATAATGCCCTCAGAACTTAAAATACATTATGGTATATGTGTACATAGACTGCTACAGAGGGTTAGCTTAAGAAAGTATATATGAGAATATTATTCTAATTATTGTACATATATTTTTTGGAATAGAAGTATCTTCAAGTAGATGTAAGGGGATGGTTACTGGCATCTACAGAGTCGTCTAATAGACAAGTGGAAATGGAGGGCTGGTAAGATTAAACATAGAAATTTGAATTCATCTGCACAAGAGTGTTGAAAAAAGGCAAGAGGTCATATTAACATAAAAGAGGAAGATGATCTCTCTTTGGCATAAAAAATCCTGAGCATAAGACTATTCAGTGAAAAGTCCCCCTTCTAACTCTAACCCCAGCTACCCAGTTCTCCTCCAACCAATGTTTCCAGCTTCCTATTCATTTAAATTTCTCCAGAATATTCTTTGTATAAGCAAATTTGTATAAGCAAATAAGCAAATATTTCCCCTGTACTTTTTTACATAAACTGAAGAATATTAGTACATTGTTTAGAACCTTTTCTCAATTCATCCTGGTGAGAGTTCCTTATGAATATATAGTTCCCTCATTTTTATACAACAGCCTAATATTCTAATTTAAAGATGTAAGGTCACTTAACCAATCCTCTGTTTTTGGATATTTACTGAAATACTTTCTATCTTTTGTTATCATGAAAAAGATAACAAGTAACCTTATATCTTTGTAAAATGACATGTGATTCCATGTGTGAAATGAATTCCTAGAAAAAGAGCTGTGGGATCAAAGTGCATGTGTGTCTGTGAGTTTAACAGACATTGCCAAAATGCTTGCCCCTTGTGGTGGGCAAAATAATGGCCCCCAAAGATGTCCAAATCCTAATATCCTGGAACCCAGTACGTTACATGATATAAGTGACTTTGCAGATATGATTAAGATGGAGAGATTAGCCTGAACTGTCCAGGTGGGTCCAATATAATCCCAAGGGTCCTTCTAAGAAGATAGGAGGGTAAGAATCAGAGACAGACAAGATGCTAGGCTTGAAATGGAACATGGGGCCATCAGTCAAAGAATATAAGCAGCCTCTAAAAGCTTTTGGTAAGAAAATGGATGTGTCCTTGGAGACTTTAGAAGGCTTACAACTCTGCCAAGACCTTAATTTTAGGACTCCTGATTCAGAACTGTAAAAGAATAAATTTGTGTTGTCTTAAGCCACTAAATCTGTGGTAATATGTTACAGGACCAATAAAAAACTAGTATACTTCCTCCAGGTTTATAGCTATTTCACTCTCATAGTCTGTCCAATAGAGCATCTCTGCCAACCCATTAGTGAAAAAGACTATCTTGAGAACCTTCATCTGTATTTTTTTAATTATAAAAAAGACTAGGAATATTTGCAATGTTTCAAGAGGCATCTGTACTCTTTCTTTGTTAACTAATTAGATCTACTGGTATATATTTCTGAAAATAATAAAATCTCATCAAGATTTCATTTATCTTCCAAACAAGATTGTAAACCACTGGACTATGTCCTCTCTAAGCTCAATAGCTTACTATTTGACCCCTATGTGCATTCACCAACACTTGAAAAGTTTCAAGAAGAATTTCCAAGGTCCCTTCTTAAATTTCTCAAATAACTACTCAGTAAATTTTCTCACAAACAGGGCTAGAAATTAAGATTTAGAATCCTAAGATGATTGGTTTTCATTTAATAGGAAGAAACCAACATTAGAAATAAATAACTATAGTTAATTTTTTTTCCATGTAGAGCATAGCAAGCAAAGATAATAAAACATTAAACTGGGATATTTAATTTAGTCACATCAACTTCTGAAAAATGTCATTTAGTTTGCAGACAGATTTTTCTATTTCAGTGATATTTTGCTAAAAATTAAAAGTTAAAAATAATATGAATTATGAGTTATGAACAAAACATTACCTCTCAACGCTCATGCTTTTCCTTTCTCCATCCCTTGAAATGAAAAAGAAAAAAAAAAGATTTTCTTTGCTTTTTCAAAGAAAACTCAGTTCTTTTTAGTCAACCAAAAGGATTTAACATATCAATTACCATTTAAAGATTTTTTTAATGTTTTTGGTTAAAATTCATACATCATGAAGAACAGTGAGTTTTTAAAATCTCAAAATAAAACTATCAACAAAAAATACAGATGCTAATATCATTATATGTATAATGGATCAAGTCTATATCTATCAAAGAGAAAAAATTTACAATAGGTTGATATTATAAACTGGTTCTACTAAAAGTGTGAATATAAAAACCCTGGCTTATAAAAGCCAGTAAGAGTTAGTAGTGTAATGCCTTGCCGTTATATGATCTGATTAAATATCAATTATCTAGTTTTTTATGTGGTATATTAACTGTGCTCTCCTATAGCTATTTATTATTCATTTATACCACTCTATTGAACCTCAGTTAGAATTTGGACACAGAAATAGGATGGTGATTGGAATCTGAGTCATCTAGTTTGGTTGAATTCTAGCTGTTCCCATAGAAGTAGTTGAAACTAAAAAGCTGAAATGACATGTAGATTATTCATTTTCCACATATTCAATGAACCTATTAGGAGTAAAGTACTATTCTAGGCACTGGGTATACAGTTATGACCAAATCAGACCAAGTTCTTATCCTTAAGAAATTTATATCTTACTGGAAGGAGACAAATAAAGAAATATAGAAGTAAATCTGGAGTATGTCAGAAGGTAAGAAGAATTAAGGATTAAAAAATAAAGCAGAAGAAGGCAATAGAGAATGTACATAGAAGGGAAAGGAGGAAAAAAAAAGAAGGGAAAGGAGGTTTGCTATTTTACATTATTATAAATTACCTATGAATTTCACTTCAAAGGATTACTGGCATCTTTGAATACCACAGATTAATATATGTTATGTTATATCAAGAACTATATTGTTTTCAACCACTATGTAAATAAAAAAGAGGATAATCCTTGGATTAAAGAAAAAAGTTTTATTTCCCATTACCTCCAAATACTAGATTATTTATAGTAGTGTGATTTCCTTCTCTGATCTTATCATTACATTCACTCAAGATCAAAATCAGCTAACTATGGGCTTAAAAATGAGGAACATGGGGGCACCTGGGTGGCTCAGTTTGTTAAGCATCTGCCTTCAGCTCAGGTCCTGATCCTAGGGTCCTGGGAGAGCCTCCCACATGGGACTGCCTGCTCAGCGGGGAGCCTGCTTCTCCCTCTCCCTGTTACTCCTCTGCTTGTGCTCTTTTGTCAAATAAATAAAATCCTTAAAAAAACAAACAAACAAAAGGGATGAGGAGCATGGACAGACGAGAAAAGCAGTACCTGCAATCTCTGTAAGATTTAGCACCTTTAATTATTTTAACTTATTTCATTTGCCTCCTCTATAATCTTCCTGCTTTCCTTTAGTTTAAGTATGTGAAGGAATTATTTTGGGGGCAGACTGACAGGATGATGATAAAATTATAAAAATAGTGCCCCATGTTAATTCCCATTCTTCTTAAAAATTCCTTTCTTGGGGCATCTGGGTGGCTCAGTGGGTTGGGCCCCTGCTTTTGGCTCAGATCATAATCTCAGGGTCCTGGGATTGAGCCCCGAGTTGGGCTCTCTGCTCAGCAGGGAGCCTGCTTCTCCCTCTCTGCCTACTTGTTCTCTCTCTCTCTCTCTCTCTGTGTCAAATGAATAAGTAAAATCTTTTTTTTTTTTTAAATTTTTTTTATTTATTTGAGAGAGAGACAGTGAGAGAGAGCATGAGCAAGGAGAAGGTCAGAGGGAGAAGCAGACTCCCCATGGAGCTGGGAGCCTGATGCGGGACTCGATCCCGGGACTCCGGGATCATGACCTGAGCCGAAGGCAGTTGTCCAACCAACTGAGCCACCCAGGCATCCCTGAATAAGTAAAATCTTAAAAAAAAAAAAATTCCTTTCTTTTCATCCACTCCTACAGTGTACCCTTCTAACTCTAGGATATTTCTTTTTAAGACTGAAATGAAAGAGTGGCAAGGAAGAATCACAGGACCTCTCTTGCTGTTTCCTCTTCTACATATTTACATGGCTGGCCCCTTCAGGTCCCTGCATCTGGATTATGGTTGCCAACACCCACTCTTACTCCCCAAGGCATGTTCTAGTCCCTAACTCTGCCTTACTTTCTTCATTTGTTTATTTGGTTACTTTGTATTTGCCACACTATTCTGCAAAGTCCATGAAGACAAGATTTTGTCTTATTTTCTACTGTTCTTCCCAGTGCCTAGAACAGTAACTAATGAAGTAAGTACTCACTACTGAATGAATCAGTCAATCATTTACAAGTCTGGAAAAAGAAAAGAAATAAAACTTGTTTTATTTATAAAAGAAAAGACATGAACTTGTTAGGTCATGAAGGCTCTCAAAGAATCATTAAATTTCCTCACTTATGGGGTAAATTCTGGAATATGAGTCACCTTTCTTTCCTCAACAATCAGACCATTAGTCTTATGTTCTAAACAAAAACAAGGCAGGTACAGAAAAGAAAGTACTCATCATTCTTCTTATCTATCTAACCAATTGCAGTAGCCAACAGCCAAAGAGTGATTCTTTGTTCTTCTTTTCCTTTCCTCCCACCTGCAATCTTTTGACTCTAATTCAAAAATTATATTCCAGAATGAATGAGACTAAAAAAATTTTTAAAGCATGTTATCCTATAAAGATGTCTAGGTGGCACTGTCAGTTGAGCATCTGATCATGGTTTCAGCTCAGGTCATGATCTCAGGGTCCTGGGAGCAAGCCCTGCATTAGACTCTGTACTCTGTGGAGTCTGCTTAAGATTCTCTCTCTCCCTCTCCTTCTGCCCCTCCTGCTCTCTCTCTCTTTCTGGAATAAATAAATAAATCTTTAAAAAGAAATAAAGAGGGGCGCCTGGGTGGCTCAGTGGGTTAAGCCGCTGCCTTCGGCTCAGGTCATGATCTCAGAGTCCTGGGATCGAGCCCCGTATCGGGCTCTCTGCTCAGCAGGGAGCCTGCTTCCTCTTCTCTCTCTGCCTGCCTCTCTGCCTGCTTGTGATCTCTCTCTGTCAAATAAATAAATAAAATCTTTAAAAAAAAAAAAAAAGAAAAAAGAAAAAAGAAAAAAGAAATAAAGAAAAAAAAACATGTTATCCTATAGCCTCCATATCAATGGTTAAAATTGTTATTTCAGCAAATGATAAGGAAAAAAACAGAATGACTACACATATAGGTACCTTGTCAGGTGTGTTGAACCTAGACCCAGGGAAATATGAAGGAAATGATGCCAAGATGTTTCAGAGAAAAGAAGAGAAAGCAATGCCTTCTGTTGGTAGAGTTCTGTACAAGTAATAATTCCAAGCGCCTTTAACATTTTCTCTGTAACTTTTCCTATTCCAGAAACCTAGAAAAGAGTTAATATTTATTATTAATACAGTTTTACATTAAGGCAAGAAAAGACATTTAATCTCATTATACCTTTTATAACCAATAAAAGGTATGAATAATGTGACCATCCTTACAAGTCATGCAAGAAAACTACTTTACTTCTCGGTACATCTCCTAAACTAGTGTTGCATGGAAATTTAAAATTTAAAATTACACAAAATTTTAAAAAGCATTAAAGAGGCACCTAGGTGGCTTGGTCAGTTAAGCATCTGCCTTCAGCACAGGTCATGATCTCAGAGTACCGGGCTCGAGTCCCACATCTGGCTCCCAGCCAGCAGGGAGCCTGCTTCCCCCTCTCTTTCTGCCCTCCCCCACTCATGCTCTCTTTCTCTCTCAAATAAATAAATAAAATGTTTTTTTTTTTAAAGCATTAAAAAAAGAGTTCTATGGTCATAGAAACTTGGAAAATGGTTGAATAAGCAAATCTAAAATAAATTTTTTACTGCAAAACTTATGAATCTTTAATATAACATTATCTGTTATTACCCACTAAGGCTGGTATGTTCCAAAGTTCTTTGACCCCAGAACCTTTTTCAATGGCATAGTTATTCATATCTTGAAAAACACAATGGAAAACACTGCTTTATAGCTACATCTTACATACTCTAAACTATTCAGTGATCATACATTATATCCTCTGATATGGCCTTTCTTCTGGGCATTGAAAAATGTGTCTTTAAATTCACTCCTGTATGTAATGTGAGAAAATCAGGCCCCAGAAAATCAATTATTGTTTTTTAAAAAAGCCTATATGCAGAAAAATCTAAAAGCTGTAAAAAATAATAAAACATACCGTTTTAAAAAAAACCCCTGAGGCATCGCTTTACCATTTTAAAGACAGTAATGTATTTTGGGGGTTTTGGGGGAGGGGGTCAAAAACAATTAAATTTCCAAATCTCTTTTAAGTCTCATACCTATTAATCTGATGGCAATTTAGACTTTAGAATCAAGAGAGTATATTAGGTTACAGCTGAAGGACCCTTACAAGTGTTCTTCTAATTTCTGTTCTTCTTGGCAGAGGTACACTTAAAAGTCTTTCATTTACTACTTTCTTAAAAGTTTTTGGCAAACAAACTTCCTAAACCTCAATTTAAGGGTTTCATAGAAAGATTTCTTCAAATCCAAATTCAATCATCCATTATACTTCCTGCTTGTTACCAACTGTTCTAAAACTTTTCAGCAAAGAATGATTACTACCATCCTAAGTAGTTCCTCTTCAGAATATATATATTTATGTTTATAAATATAGTTTATATTTAAATATAACTAAAATTATATTTTATATAAATAAAATAGAAATTTTATACAAAATCTCACCTTTCTAATAGGTAAGTCCTTGATGAAGTCCATCACAGCTTGTCTGCTGGGGAGAATTTGGTATTGTCCATTTGGTTTATTCTTATCACTGCATACTTTTGCTAACATTGTATTTGGGGCAATTCCTTAAAAGAAGAACACTCTGATGACTCAAAGAAGGTGACATGTATCATTTTAAAATATGAGAGGACAATACAGAAATAGTGAATGTAGAAAGTCCAAAATGATGACAAATGATACTTTAAAAATAACATCTGATAACTACCTATCTCCCCAGGGCTCGATATGATTTTAGGAAAAGGAATTGTATTAGTCACTGTGGCAGCAGAAATGAAGAATATTTAAATCTCCATGGAGTTTTAAAGTCTAAGAGTAATTTCAGTGTTTATTTAAGTAATATTATTAGTTTACAGACCATCTTTAGTTGTAATACAGGGTTGATTTATAGAAAAGATCCAGAATATAATTTAGGGTGGATGTTCACTCTTTGAAAGGTCTTTTGTATAGATTACCCAAGTAAAGAAAAAAAAAAAATCAAAGATTCCAGGTTACATTATATTTAAAACAATGATAATAAAATGTATGCACTGTTTTTATTATGCTTATTATGTTTTTATTAAAGCAAATTAATACTTTTCAGAAAGCTGTTTTGAAAATTTCTAAGAGACCCAATGATTAAGATAACTTGAAATAGGTATATTCAAATATGATCATTAAATGATTCATTTCAATTTTTATACACATCCTACTAAAATTTGTTACTTATTCTCACACTTTGGCAAAGAAAAAAAAGATTAATCTAATCTTAATGATAATTTAGGGTCCTCATGATTAATATCAGTTTCTATGCTAAGACAGAGTGATACCTTCATGGGTTTCTGACATTTGTAAAGCTCTTTTTCCCTTCACCAGCTGGTCCTAGATTGCTATGTTGCTAGTCAGGGCTTCTGCAGGTTCTCTCCTGTAATCTTGGACAGGGTTGAAAAACTTCAAAGGGAAAACTAATAAAGTATTATGTACTAAGCCAATTAAAATGTATTGTATGCTTTAAAAAGGATAGCTACATGAGATTTATGATAGTTGTTTTCTTTGGGCTCATAGGCTTTTCTGCTTAATTCCAATTTACCTGTAGCTTCATAGAACTCTGAATAGGTAAAGTCATTAGAAGTTGAATCAAAAAGGATAAGAAAACATTCTTATAAGCTTCATAGTGAGGAAGAACTAATATTACACTTGAATTAGCCAGTCTGAAAATTTTAACTATGGTAGCCACCAAATCAGTTTCAAGTACCTGCACTGGCTGTCAGTGTTGTTTTTTGCTCAATTCTGAAACGAATTTCCTTTACTACTTCCTCAGCTGATGTTCCAAAAACAATAGAATTTTGGAGTAGTTGAGGATTATTCTGTTCTTCAGAGTTCACTTGTAAAGGATTTCCTTGGGGCTGCAAATCAGGAGGACTATCATCAAAAAGTAGTGGAGAGATGGAACGTTCATGCTCACTCAGTTTATTAGTTTCTTTTCCTGGTTTCTCTAAATTATAAACAGAAACAGTAATTATCGTCATTTAAAGAAGTATATATTTCATCAGTGAGGTTTCCCTACATTCTTTCTAAAGACAAAAGAAATCTAGTTTAGTTTTGTTTCTAAGGACCAAGATCAGAAATGTTATTTATATTTCTTTGTTTAACAAAGAAAATACTGATTCTGAGTTTTTCTTAAAAGGAATATTATCTGTTTCATAGTATACATTTGAAGAGGAAATATCCTATGTAAAAATTATGAATTTGTGTATCTTACCTAAATTAACTGAAACCTAGAATTGGGCCTAGGGTCACACTACTTTTTTATTTAAAAAGAAAGAAAGAAAGCTTTTTTTTTCCTTTACCCATTAAATTAGAATTTAGGAATGAGGAAAAAGGCATTAAGCCATAAATAATAATTACGCCTGAGAATTAAGTTTTGTTTCTAGAGGGAAAAGAACTTTAAATTTTCTTCATTCATGAAAGAAACTTTTCAGATGTTAAAATACTCTCACTATCTTCTTTTAAAAATGCTTATTTTGATTTTCACTTGCTTACATATAAAGTATCACTTTTACTGAAGGCACATTTAAATAAATAGTAATTATTTCTGTAAGTTACACTTCTTTAACTATACAAACTCTTAAGGTCTAATCAGATTAACTATAATAATATCAGTTGGCTACAACCTAATATTACTATTAAAAAGTAAGGTAAAAATACTAATCTGGTTTTTACCTCATTTTATTTGCACTTTTCACAACTAGACTGTAAAATATATTTAAATCTATACCAATACTAAAAATGTCCTCATGAACAAATCCATTAATGATTACTTTCTGGGCTTAATGGAAGAGAAATGCAATTTAAATGTATTTATAAAAATTAAGATTAACAACAGAGCTTTCTGATCTCATTGCATAATTTTATTACATATAAATGTTTTCCAAATTGAGGTAAATGCAGAGCCAAAAATTAAATTTCTAGTTTCAAGACACACATAAATGCATATTATTTTAGAAATGAACCCTCCCTTTAAGGAGGGTTTTCTAAAGATAATATAAATAATATGACTAACACCAGATTAGTTTCAAATTATAAAGTACATAATATGAATTCAGTTATAGACAAAAGTTTTCCAAATCTGAATTCCCAGGCCACATACAAAATAAGCCTTATTTTCAAACTTAATATTAGCTATTATTTAGGTACTTCAGTTACTTTCATTTTTCATATTCTGGTTTTGAAATGCAGAGCACTGGGGCTCCTGGGTGGCTCAGTAGGTTAAGCATCTGCCTTCACCTCAGGTCATGATCCCAGGGTCCTGGCATCGAGCCCCACTTTGGGCTCTCTTTGGCACAGGGACCCTGCTTCTCCCTCTCCTTCTGCCTGCTGCTCCCCCTGCTTGTGCTTTCTCTCTCTGTCAAACAAGTAAAATCTTTAAAGAAAAAATAAAATGCAGAGCATTTCAGAAAACATTATGGCGGTGGCACAGCTGAAATGGTATTTGCCTGGCCCCCTTTTCCCCATCTGGATGGGTAAAAGTCAAGGTAAAGAGAGCTGTACAAAAACCACACACCTAGTAAGGCACCTGTCACATTCATAAGCCCCTTCTACAGAGTTATCCTGTGTTTTGTACCTCATGAGTCTATCACAGTACCCTTAGGTGGGTCACTGATGGAATGCTGGAGTAGGAAGCAAAGCATGCAGTCCAGGTTCCGTCCTTATTAGAGTAGCTGCTAAATGGCCCAGTTACCTATTAATCAATCTGTCTACTTTTCTATTTGGCCTGGCTATACAACTAACGCTAAAGTAATTTCTTACTTGCTTTCTGAAAAAAAAAAAAAAAACCAAAAACCTTTATAATCCCCATAACTGAGGTGATCAGAGTACAAAACTGAGGTTTCTTATCAGCTGAAACACTGGGATTAAAGCATCCCATCTTTATATGGGATATATGGATGGTGAGTGCTATAAGGATATAGGGTATTTCATTGTCTTACACTGCCTCCTGCTCACCATCCAGATTTATATGGCAGAATAAACATAAAATAATAACAATTATTTTACTTGCTTATAGACAAAATAATTAGCATTACTCTTCCAAAGATGGCACCTTTCAGAAAAGGGGCAAACAGCAGAAAAATGTCTTGGACTTCAGAAGAAGTTACATCAATTCCCTTCTGTGGCACCAACTCACTGTGGGCAGCTTCCCATGGCATTTGTGAAATCAGATATGCTGAAAAGTCCCACCCACAGGGATTTACATATGAGGGGGAAAAAAAAGTTAAAACTACTTAAATTGCTTAAAAACACAAAATACAGGAAGAGCAAAGTACATAAGTAATTAAGAGTAATAATAAGTAATTAAGTTCACATCCTTCAAGTGAGTTTGTGCATAGTATAATAAATGAAAAGAACATTAGTAGAGAATAAAAACATTTACCTTAGTCCCAGTGTAATTTTTTTTAACATATTGTGAGCATAATTGTAATAGGAGGTCTCAGAGAGATGCTCTGATATAACAATATAACGGTTCCCCCATCCTCTCTTGTGAAAAGTAAGGAAATAAATTGAGATGAAAGCAAACTGACATTAGGCTTTGTGTGCCTCTTCCCCCAAACAATAAAAATATAATACAAAAGATCTTTTGCTCTAAGCCTCTGTGTCCAGGAATTATGCCTGTTTATTGTTTAATGTTTCTATTAAAGAGAGAGACCTGTGCCTTAGAGTTCTAAATAAGGTAGTGGAGTTGTGATTTGATGTCCGCACTAAACTTGCTCCAAAGATGTGAACCCCAAACAATGAGTGTCAGAATGTTATGCCATCAAAGATCCACCATTTTTGCTTCAGGGAAAGTTACAGATAGATTTCCTCACCACTGGCTGTCCCCACCTGAAGAAGGCAATGAGTCGTGCACATGAAATACAGCTGTGGGCTGTGAGCAAACCCTCTGTTTCTACCTTTTCACCCAGATGAACTTTGTTCAGAGGTCCATGACAGCTAAGATATTTGAAGTAATCATATCTCTGACAGTGTTGAAAGCATTATGTGTAAATAACTACATGGTTCTCTGACATTATTTTGGATAAGTAACAAAGGGATCATTCGGAAAAAAACTTTGGGGTCATGAAACTTCTTTATCAGTGCGTACAAAAGAATCACAATAAGGTCTAAGGAAGAGTTGGGAGTCATTAATTTTGGCAACGTTGAAAATAGTCATAATCACCGTGTAATCAGATCATAGATCATTTTGAAAATGAGGGGGGGAAAACCATATAATGTTTCGATATATTTGAGGCTTTTTAAAAAATCTAACTCCTTTTAACAACTGCAACAAAAGTCCACCTTAAATAGATAACCTCTTCAGATTCAACACAATCCAACCCTTCCTGAGATCTTCAGAAAAGAACTGCTATGAAATTACTTTACTCAATGGTTCTGCAGATTCTTAAACTCTAGAGGTTTAACAATCTCATTTGGTTTAAAAGTGATTTAAACCTATCTCTTTGGATTAAAATTTACAAATTTAACTTAGAAATTTCACTGATTTTTCATTTTTAATACTTTTTCATTATAAAGGGATACCTAGTTCTATTACCTATGGATGCTAATAAGTTAACTGGGTTAATTCAAAGGGCTTTTTGTTTGTTTTTTAGTTTGATCATACTAATAAATTGCTTACCATTTTCTAGAGAGTTTCCTGTTTTGATGAAATACTTCCTTTTGTCCTCGGGCCAATTTTGTCTTTCCTGTAAGTGCTTTGTTATATTCAAGTAGGCTTCATCAAGACTCATAGCCATAAAATTGGGATCATAATCAGCAAGTATTTCCTTAACCTTCAAAAGGAACAAAACGATTTAAATTTTGCTGCCATAGCAAAACCCGTAATATAACAGCTGATAAGAAACATTAATATTCTTACTTTGCAACTACAGTAAAAATCCTGCAATCAATAGTTCATGGATTTAGGGAATAAATAATTTATTGCTAGCACAAGTTTGTCCGAAGACTCATTAGAATTAAAATAGATCATGAAGGCAGAAGACCATGAAACAGCTTCATCTAATACAATCTCTACTCAGCCACCTTTATCTAGATATAATAAATGACTCAAATAAGTCTCAGACATCATTCTGGTAGGCACAGAAAAAAGGGTTAAGTAACATAATTTAAAGTAACTGGTTAAAAATAGAAATCGGAACAATAGGATACTGCTCCCCCTCACCTTTTTGTTTATTTTAAAAAGAAATAATTCTTTATTTCAAAGTAGTCTCCACACCCAGCATGCAGCACAAAGCACTGAGTTATTGAACTCAATAACCCTGAGATTAAGACCTGAGCCAAAATCAAGAGTTGGATGCTTAATTGACTGAGCTGCCTAGGTGCCCCTAAAAAGGAATAATCTTACATAAAATACTATGTTGCTTTAGAAAGTAGTTCTATTTTAATTAATTATAAGTATGCACATAAAACTCTACTCAAAACATACATTAATGCATGTATCCATTCAGAAAACAAAGCTCAATTATCGAAATTTGGAATGGAAAAGATGACAAAATCTACAGTGGAAGTCTGTGACTACATTAAATGACAGGGAAAGTCTGGAGCTGCATCTTGAGATAAATAAAAAGATCAGAATTTCCATATGATTCCAGAAACACCATTTATGTAAGATAGTTTTATTATACGGAACTATAAATGTTTCTAACCACTGAAGTATTAACTGAAATTGGAGGAAATGGTTGCCAAAATAATATATACATATTTGAAAAACGTATTTGTTGAATTATGTTATCCTTCCATCTAGTATTTAAAGTCTGCTGTATCATGAGAAAAACCTTTTTTGAAGTTTTATAAAATAAAGCTTTTTAGCTTAATTTAATTATGAACAGCTGAGTCAAAGGTAATTTTAGAAAATGGTGATATAAAACTTGGCCAAGCTTTACTCAGAGAGTACCTTAATTATCTTTGTTCTTCTGGAAGAAACCAATTTTATAATGTACTCAAATGGAATCTTTCTAGTGAAAATGAAACTCTGGAAAGTCTGTAGTTGGCAGACAATGAAGATTATTCTGAATGAGAAGTACTCCCTAGAGACATGGAGTACTCACTAACTTCCTTTTCAGAGGATACTGCTTGAAGAACAAAAATAGACATGTTCCAGTAAAACTCAAGTACTTAGGTTCCAACAGTCAAAGCTGTTCCATTCTTTTGGAAAAAATAAAAATGGGTCTCCTTAAACTTTTAAACCAAGTCATACATATTAATATACTTAGAGTCAGTGAATTTGTGCTGTAGTTCGTTCACACGTAAGAACCCATTTGCTATCTGCAAATAAACTAGTTAGATCCTGCTCTAATTAGAGAAAGGTTTCTCCAATTTCTATAACAAGACAGAAGAGAACTAAAAACAATTTAGCTCTCATTATCATATTGTCAGAAGTTTTACTGATTTAAAGCAGGACTCAAAAAAATTCCTTCTTACAAGGTCTCTGAAGGATTTTCAAACTTACTGAAAGCCCGTAATATTTGTGGTTAGCATTTTATCTCTTTCTCATTAGGAATATGGTAAAAGAGACAGGCAGAAACCACACTGGAATGTGGTTCCCCCTTCTCTACCACCTTTTCAGAGATAGGCAAAAAGCACTTGCTGCCACAGACTGTTTTTGAAAGAATGAAAAAAACAGAATTTTTAAAAAATTAGGGGTGCATACCATTCCACTTTGGGGAGGTTTCATTTCTAGAGTACATGAAGTATAATACAAATAAGAGGAGCGAATCTAAAGATGACCTACAGGACCAAATGATAGTAAGGGTTAGGCCATAGATTTTTAAGGGTTTCAATTCAGACAGCAGTCTTTAACACAGTGCATTTTATTACAGAAGTCTAAAACTGTTTGATGCACTATTCTAAAATTTTAACTGATGATATGTTTTAGCACTAGCTAAATGATAGTCCAGTTATCAAAAACAGAGAAAATCACAATTTTCATATATGACAATTTAGGCAATTTTACTGAGTAATCAAATCTTTATATTTCAGATCCTTTTCAAAGTAAGATGATTCCCTTTTTTCCTTGATTATTGGTCTCTCAAACATTAAAGGCTCATAAGCATCTTCACTAGACTGCGAGGCAAGGAAAACAGTTAATCGAGATAATGGAATTTCATTACTGTCTAAAAACATTTATTATCATTGTGAGTAGAAAAATTTATTCACAAAAGAGGTTGAAATTAATGACATGAGTAGATTATGTAAATTATAAATAGATAATTCTAGAAAAAAAAAGTATATTGCATATTAAGAAAAAAAAACACCTAAAGTTAATACAGATTATAATTAAGGCAATTTAAAGTTTTCCAGGTAGATAATTTTCTAAACAGATGAAAAAATATGTACAAGAGCAAAGATCTGGGAAATAGAAGGGTGTGCTCTGTATACTCAGCTCAGTTTTCAATATATGAGCTGGAGAAGTGGTAGGAGGTAAAACTTAAAGGGATAAATTAAGAACAAATTCTGATGCACTAAGTCATTTGGACTTGACTCTGTAGGCGACAGGAAATCAGTGAAAGGTTGTAAGTAAGAGTGCTTCATCAGACTTACCTCTGTACTCACAGCTTGGTATTTGTCAAAGTTTGGGGGCACAATAATAAGTTGTGGGCAGAGTCTTTTAGCAATAAATCCTGGCATGGCTGCACGAACACCAAACCTCCTTGCATGGTAATTCGAAGTAGACTGAAAGAAAACGGACCACATGGGAAAAAATATACAAACCTAAATGGGCATACCAATCAATGAGTTCATAAAAACACATTACTGATGTGCATTTTCAAGTCAAGGACATCTGTCTTATAGGCCACAGTCTCGAATCAAGCTTTGACTTTATCCTATCATGGTATTACGAGACCATAACCCTCTCTCTCACAATATGTCTCCATATTTATGTGATGCCAGGTAATAAACAAGACTAAAAAGAAGGTTCTCGGGACGCCTGGGTGGCTCAGTGGGTTAAGCCGCTGCCTTCAGCTCAGGTCATGATCCCAGCGTCCTGGGATCGAGTCCCACATCGGGCTCCTTGCTCAGCAGGGAGCCTGCTTCTCCCTCTGCCTCTGCCTGCCACTCTATCTGCTTATGCTCATTCTCTCTCTCTCTCTCTCTCTCTCTCTGACAAATAAATAAATAAAATCTTTAAAAAAAAAAAAAAAGAAGGTTCTCTTACATTTCCAATTAACTAAACTTCATTAGCTCTAAGGCATAACTGTAATATAGTATATATCAAAGTTTGGATGATAGTGGATGATGTTACATGAAAGTAATAACTATAAAGTAATGTTATAGTACAAATAGTATGGATATTAAATGTAAGTAACAGTCTAGAAAGTAATAGCATGGTATAATAGTATAGATTTGGAATTTACATTTGAAATTTTTCATTTGGAACCAAAGTCAAAGGTTCTGTTAATTGTTAGCTAAATTAAATGTCAAAAAAATGAAGTGATGAAAGCTTAAAAGAGCTTTTAAAATTACATTTTATTTCTTAAGGCTTGAATATACTTTTTGGTGAAAACATTTTCAGTAGGAGATGGAACTAAAAAATTATGAAAGTAAGAAGGAGATTACTTTTTTTTTTAAAGATTTTATTTATTTATTTGACAGACAGAGATCACAAGTAGGCAGAGAGGCTGGCAGAGAGAGAGGAGGAAGCAGGCTCCCCACTTAGCAGAGAGCCCGATTCGGGGCTTGATCCCAGGACCCTGGGATCATGACCTGAGCCAAAGGGAGAGGCTTTAACCCACTGAGCCACCCAGGTGCCCCGAGAACATTACTTTTAAATCCTGTTGATACCACAATACCACTTATAAAAAAATTTTTTATCACAAACAAAATCTTTGAAATCTCAAGTGAAAATTCAAAGAAATGGAAAACATAATCTATCACATGAAAGGATTACTTCAGACTAGTATCAATTTGCCATTAGTAGCTTTCAGATGGCATTTTAAAAATCTTGATAGTACTCAAAACTATGCCAATCTTTGACAGTATTCTGGAAGAGAAAATGCAGATGGGACTAGAAAGACAAATCAATCTTTTAAATATAAATAACTCTAATGGAATGGATATGAAAGCTAGTAGATTTGTGGTAGATTGTAAATCACAGCCACGATACTTTATAGTTCCTCCTACTCAAGGGTGGGTTCCAGTCCCTCATGCCAAGTGACTTGTACTGTGACTTGTTTTGACCAGAAGAATATGAGGGAGTGACATTGTGAGTCGTGAAGCCTAGGCATTATGAAGTCTGTAACTTCAGCCTTTGCTTCCTTGGGGATCCAACAACTATATAACAGTCTTGGGTTAGATCGCTAAATGATGAGGTGCCATGTGGAGAGGGAAAAGTTCATCAGCTGGAAGCCATTCCAGCCATCTTGGCTGAAAGGCCAAGTGTGTTAATAAAGCCATTTTGGATCCTCCAGCCCCAGCTAAATAACTGTAGTCAACCCTTGGTAGAGTAAACTTATCCCCAGTGTGCTCTGCTCAAATTACAGAATCATGAGCAAACCACTAAGTACTTAAAGGGGTTTGTTATGCAGCAATAAATAACTGCTAAGGGTCTATGTTTTGACTATGAGTACTAACTTAGAATACTTTGAAGATCCATTAAATTATTCAAAAAAGAATTCTGGGGGCGCCTGGGTGGCTGAGTCAGTTAAGCATCTGCCTTCAACTTGGGTCATGATCCTGGGGTCCTGGGATCGAGCCCCACATCAGGCCCCCTGCTTGGTGGGGAGCCTGCTTCTCCCTTTCCCACTCCCCCTGCTTATATTCCCTCTCTCCCTGTCTCTGTCTCTGTCAAATAAATCAATAAATAAAATCTTCTAAAAAAAAAAAAGAATTCTGACTGTAATAGACTGAAATAAACATATACCATCACTACCATTAATTTGTATATACACTTTTATGAATTTAATAGAACAAAAGCAAATTTATTCCAAATCTCATTAGAAATGAAGTCTATTAGTTGAGTATACAAAAGGGGTAATCTTTGTTTAAATATGGCAATCATTTTGAATTTGGAAGTAATAATCAATTTTTAGGAGGATATAATTCATAGGAAGAAAAATATTTTGCAGATCTAGCAGTGGGTTTAGCTTTAAAATATATACATATGTACACAAAGATAATTTCACATAAATATATGGTGATATATATTCTTTTTGTTTGTTTTTAAAGATCTTACTCATTTATTTGACAGAAAGAGAGACAGTGAGAGAGGGAACACAAGCACAGGGAGTGGGAGAGGGAGAAGTAGGCTTCCTGCAGAGCAGGGAGCCTGATGTGGTACTCGATGCCAAGACCCTGGGATCATGACCTTAGCCGAAGGCAGATGCTTAACGACTCAGCCACCCAGGCGCCCGGTGATATATATTCTTAAGAAGATTAAATACATTTTTTCAAATATCAGCTGATGATTTGTAGGAAAGGGGAGTAGTCTTTCAGTAAACATTGTTTTGGAACCTGGAATGTTAGTTGCCGGCATACCTATGGGAGCAGAGATGATGAACAAATAGATAATAGTTTTATAATAAAATAGTAACTCAGTAGGAATTAGGTTTATAGCTGTCTAAAGCGTTGGAAGGAGTTAGGAAGAGGGAAGAACTCTCCTTGCTTCTCTTATATGTTTTTTAATACCCAAATCCATCTATTCCAGGGGCCGTTATTAGTTCCCCACACATTTTTAGCCACATATAGCAATCCTGGCCATCTTTACCTTTCGGTGGTGATAAGGAAGAGCAACATGGTAATCAGAAAAGCAAAGGTTCCAAGTCATGGGAAGAATTAATTACAGCAGTATTCTAATAAAATACATTACCCTAGAACTAAAGTTGGCAAAACTTTTCTGTAAATGTCCAGATAGTAATTACTTTGAGCTTTGCAGATCATATAGTCTCTGTTGCAGCTACTCAACTCTGCTCTTTTAATACAACAACAAACAAATGGGTGTGACTGTGTTCCAATAAAATTTCATTTACAAAAAAGACTAGATTTGGCCTGCAAGCCATTGTTTGCAAACCTGCTTTAGGGTAACACTTCCTTTTCTTTCATCTCCAATTCCCTTTTACTGAAAAATTCCCTTTTACTTAAGAAAAAATACAGCTTGTAATAGAAAGATATAATGCCACTCTACTACTCACCAGGCTTATAACTTTGGGGAAGTTTTTAAGCACCTCTCTGAGTTAGTTTTTTGTCGTCAAATGGAAATAAA